ACAATAAAAAAAAAAAAAACAAATTCTTCATCAATCATCAATTGAGAATATGTAGTGAAATATACTCATTTCCTGTTAGCATGTTCAATCTTTTCATTAGTGATGATCAACTACATCCTGATCAGATAAAATTTCGACTTCAAAAAATATTCTCTTTACCTTTCTATATAAATACAAAGGGAAAAAAAAATTCTCATTGATCTTGCTTCGGCCGTTGTGGTGGTGCAATTACAGGTATTAAAATTTAAATGATGTTCTTTTCACAGATCATTTGTTTGGCTTTTATTATTTTTTATTTTTCCCGTTCAAGAATAGTGTTATTACTATTATTTTTATTCGTCCATCCGTTACAGCTATCGTAGCCGTTGTCAGGTAATATGATGTGATTTCTTATATAGTTAGTTAGCCTAGAAGTTTTGTATGATTTTAGTTCTGTTTGGATTGAATTGATTAATTGAATTTTTGTTACAAAGTGTGGTTTTTTAAATTTCTTTTTAATGTTTCATTCAATTAGAGTGGTTTTCTTTTTTTAATTATGGAGTCTCAGTTTTTTTTTCGTATATGGTCAGTTAGGAAGTGCGTTTTTTCTTTGTTTAATTGTTTTTTATTTTGTTTCATAATCCCAATTGACCAATTATTATTATTATTATTTTATTTTATTTGCAAATAAAGCGCATTTTTTTTATGTTCGCGCTTTCAAGAATATACTTTTTGAATTTTGGTTTTTGGGCTTTTTTTAGTTTCTCATCATCTAAACAGTTCAGGTCGCTTCTTCTAACTAATTTCTGGGGAAGGCTTTTATGAATTTGAGGCGGAGAGGGAAAGAATGATGTTTCTACGTTTATTTGTTTTTTTATACAATATTTTTACCTACAGAAAAAAATAATTTCTCAATTTTAAATGGGCTATCTTTTACTTTCCTTTTTTTTTATTTGCCATGGTGAGGTAAGTTCTTTGGTATAACTTGAAACCTATGCAAATTTACATTATTTTCATTCTCATATTTGTGATCAACCAATTTCATCAATTAACCAGTTTCAAAATCATATTTTTGATATTTTACTACTTATAAATTTTTGGAAGAAATAATTTCAACAATTAAGCGTACACCCTTGAGAGGAAGCTTACTACAAAGCTATTATAAATCTCCAAAACTAAGTATTAATTTACAACCGAAAAACATCAATAAATTATCTTACTAATATTTAAACTTATTAGGATGCTTTTACATTTTGTCTAGCATTTAATTCAAGACATATATTTGATCAATTTTATTTATATTTAAGAAGTAACACTTATAAAACATTTCTAAAATCTTAAAACATTTCTAAAACGTATCGGGTCAAATACAATTTCTTTTTATGCCAAATACAAACATTTCTATGATCGCACTTATAAAACTTTTCTAAATTTTTCAAACATTTCTAAAATATATCGGGCCAAATACAAAATATTTTTTTGCCATATACAAATATTTCTAAGATGTACAGATATATTGGGCCAAGATCGCGCATTGCGCGACCAGACATCACTAGTATATATATATATATATATATATATATATATATATATATATTACTTTTCGTCGAACCTAAAGAAGTTTGAGCAGAGATTATCTAGGGTTTTTATGTTTTGATTTCTACTTATTTCTTTTGGCCATCCAATAATATAATTCGTTCGTTTGATTGATTTTTTTTTAAAAAAAATTTGTTTCATTGTCCTCTTTATTTTATTTATTTATTTATTTTTATTTTTTTTTGTGTATCCTACTCTGTATCCATGGCAAAGCCGGAAGGAGAATCAGGTCTTGGATGGTTGCCGGAAGATATTAATAATTGGATACTGTCTTTTCTCGATATCGATGACAAAATCAGGGCTTCCTGTCTATCCCGAGATTGGTCCGGTGCTTATCGGACGAACCCGAATCTGCGGTTTGACGAGAGAAGCTTCAGAAAAAAAGCAAAAGAAAGACATGAAATTAGCCGCAGTTGGATTTCAACAAATAATCGAGGATACTTTGGCCATGAAGCGCAAATTTGGAGGAGGGATATTGTCGTTTGATTTGAACATGTTTTATGAAGATTATTATTTTCATGATGATATGGAAGATCGGGTGGACGAATGGTTGGAATTTGCTGTGGACAATGGAGTCAGAGAACTGAGTGCTCGGCTTTGGGGTTGTGATTATGTCCTTCCGAACTGGATTTTTGAAGCTGAATCTTTAACAATGTTGTCCCTTTGTAGTTGGTGTTAAATGAATGAAAAGAAAGAAATTACCTCATGTTCCCTTGTCCCACATGATGGATGAAGACTCTTGAACTCAACATATATACCCCATGTGCTACTCCCCTCATAGCCAATTGGTTTTGAGGTGGAACCACATGTGGGCTTATATTTGGGCCTTCAAGAGTTACAATTTCCCGGACGAGTTAAACATTGAGGAGATTTCGTGTAAGAACCTCCGCACATTGGTCTTGTCCAAAGTCTCAATCAATGATGATGCTCTGTCTTCCTTGATTGCGGTTTGTCCGTTGATTGAGCATTTAAGTATTATTCACTGTGATGGATTGAAAAATGTTGAGTTGATGAATAACCATCTCCCTTGCCTCCAGGAATTGGAAATTTACGGCTATGTTAATGTAAGGACGGAGAAACAGACTCTGCTGCAGAGTTTGGAATTACGGCTATGTTAATGTAAGGACGGAGAAACAGACTCTGCTGAGAGTTTGGAATTTGTGGATACTCGTCTTACTGAAGCCTTCTTTGGAAATTTCATGAATAGTTTTCCAAATGTATGGGTCTCCGGTGATCCGTGATTGCGATGGCTTCGCGAGAATGAACTTGACGAGTTATTCGCTGAGGAATCTAGAGTTTGATACCGTTCATGCTCTCTGAATCATCCACTGGAAATCAACGCGCCTAACCTCGTTAGTTTAAGGTTGAGTAATGCGATTCTCAGTGAGACATTCTTTGACAACTTTGAGGTTAAGTTCCAGCATCTTAGGTCCTTGGTTCTCTTACGTTGCCAAGGATTCGCGGCCATGAGTTTAAGGAGTGATTCACTGAGAACATGAAGTAATGATGATTAATGCTCCCAATCTCGCTAGTTTTAGCCTTGGGTTATATTGCACTTCATTCATGTTTCCTAAAGTATCTTTTGGAGCTGTGCCAACCCAAATGAAATCCACTGTGTACGTAGTTTGCTATCCTGAAAGGAACTTTACGTGTGGCAAAGGAAGATCAGCGCCTGCCGGAAATGGAATCGCTTCAGGCAAGGTGAAGCACCTGCACGAAAAGCTGGCCGAGATGATGGCCTGGTAAATGTGATCAAGCTGGCTGAGATGCATAATCAGGGCCTGGTAAAGGAAGATCATAGTCGTGTTGCACTAAAATTGAATATTCAAATGGGACAATTATTTTTGGACGGAAATGAAACCTAGCAAGAAGCGTATTGGCCTTCGGAAAACCTTGTATCACAGATGTCCTATCAAGTTTGTGGAGAGTATGCAGACGACTGCAGTTAGAATATACACGCCATATTCTAGGATGAAACTAGAGAAATCTGTCATTGAGGATTTGGAATTCAGAGTTATACAGTAATTCGACTATGAATGAGAAGAGTGAAAACTTCAAAAGTGTAGCGCGCATAGCAGAATAATGTACTATATGCTGAACAGATAGTGAAACTTGTATTTCAACAAGATTGAAAATGAAAGTGAAAATTAGTGAAAATTGGTGTATTTTGCTTTTTGCCATTTCTATCGACAGTACTAGGACCCCAACGAGGATTGCTTTTCACAACCATGTTCCACTGGCAAAAAGCAATGTCGCTCAGCGCGACTTCCACAAAGCCGAATTTTGAAACAAGAAGGGCATCAAGTTCCCATCTTCCAAACACAGGAATGTGTATCTTGGAATAAAGGATAGAAGTATTGAAATGCAAGTGGTTAAACCGCACATGACGAATATTAAAATTCAGGTGATGAGAACATTCAAGATCTGAGTTAGATGTACGTCGCAATGCAAATAGTATATCTGCATTAATTTTCCCTTTAGTACTTGTAAAATTGTTGTGTAAATTAATTTGTTAGTTTATTTTCTGGTGAGCTGAAAACCTCAAATGTTTTATTTTCGGTTGAGAATTATGCATGGCTTTAGTATACATAAGTATTTCAAAAGAGATCAAGAGAAGACTCAAGATTTGGTCCAATTTTGCTTTTTGAGGTTTCCGAAAGTTTTATAAAGCTTCAGATGATTATAAGTTAAAGGGTTGGTTTATATAATAACATCAAAGTATCAAACAGATAAAAATTCACCAATTTAAAACCATGTCTTTGTGTATTGTCGGCTTATCGTCGGGTTTAAGAACTTGACGACAAAGCCGACAAATACCTTTGCTTCTTGTTGGTTTTATCGTCGAGGAAGTCGACCATAGTTGACGAAGATTTCGACTTGTCTTTGCATGTTGCATGAAAATTTGATATCCCTAGTTTACATGTCACAAATAAAATCAAATGCGCATTAACAAAAACATAAGCCTTTTTTCCTGAGATAAATTGCCCCGTCGTCCCAAGGTATAACCTTGAAAACAAGATTAGAAAATGTCAGCAATGACAAGCTTTCAGAAAAAATCCAGTTACATTATGTTTCAGAGATGTATTCTGTCGAATCATGCAAGAAAAAAAAAAAATCAGCTCAAGCTTAATTTATGTACTCCCTCTGTCCCAAAATTATTGTCCAGTTTGTATTTTTATTTTTAGTTAAATTTATATTAAAAAAGGAAAATCAAAACTAGACAATAATTTTGGGACGAAAGGAGTATAAGCTTTTGAAAAAGCTAAACAGATGAAAGCAATTCATTGTTTGGAAATAGTATTTCAAATCAAAGCTACATTACCTAAATGTGGCTAACAGAATGATGTATTATACTGAAACTAAAGTGTACAGTATCATTTATCCAACAAGATCAAAGAAATGAAAGTGAAAACTAGTTTACAATATTACTCATGCAGGAATTTCCAAACTGAGAGAGACTTGATTGGGGTTTTTTTCCAGCCAACAATGATACCTTGGCCATTTCTTTCCCAAGTACTAGGTTTCCAAAGAGGATTGCTTTCCACAACCATGTTCAACTGGCAAAATGCAATGTCGCTCAGCGCGACTTCCACAAAGCCGAATCTTGACAGAAAACCTCTCCAGAAATCCAGCCTTTCGTGGCGAGTAATCCTTTCTTCGCCTTCACAGATGATCACATTCCGAACTGCATCCCAAATGAACCCTCCTTCTATGAAACCTCTACACGGATTATCACGCGCCACGCAATCTTCAAGACAATCGAAAACAGCAGCACAAACGGATAGGGCTGCATCAAAGCGCTCCAAAAATATTGGAGTGTCTGTATATGCTTCAATTTCAATCACTACCATCACAAGTGGATTAAGATTCTCAATAGTTCTCAGAAGAGATACTAAATGATCAAGCCTTGGGAGTAAACTCGCAAGATGCAACTCTGAGTAAACCGCAACAACTTCATCATCCGACAACTCAAACATATCTTCCCTAAGATCCTTCAGGTCTGATACAATCAGTCTGAACTCAAAGGGAATGTTCATAGATTCTGCAAAACATGACAGCATTCTTCCTGTTTCATTATCTTCCGCGGTTCCAACAGCCGTTAGCTTGAGAAGCTCAACTGGATCATGCCTAGCAGCAAGAGCTTGCATCAAGACAGGCCAGTGTGATGCACTCTTGATTCCTAAATCAACCAAATGAACCCTTCTAGCTGATGCCACATTATCCACTAAAGCCTGGATTGCTGTGAAATCAGTGATTTGACAGAAAGGAAGCAACTGATAACTCTTCATCAATTCAGGCTGAAGTTTTTTAACTAGTTCCTTAACAGGATTCGCTTCTCGTGATGCATCAGGCTCGGGATTTTCTCCAAGTTCTCGGGCGATCTTTGCTTGTAGGGCTGATGAAAAATAGGATACAATCCTATGAAGTGCATTACCAGAAGCTGAAGCTTTGCTTTGACATATATTGAGCCACCATTTTGTTTTCTCCAAATCCCGCTTTTCGTACCAAAGAACAGCACCTTGGAATAGCTTTGCGAGTTCAAAATCATCGGACATTTCAGGTGACAAGCAATAAGAAGAATCAGGGTGGTCATCATTATCAGATGAGCCACCAAACAAAATGGAAGCTACATCAAAATTCCTTCTCTGAATCAGTGTTTTTCTAGCCATTTTCAGAATATCATTAGTTGATAATGATAACCCTGATGCAGAATCAGCAGATCTGCATGAGCCTGAAATATCATCGGGTTTTCGCTCTCCCCCCATTTGACCTCCGAAAACTTCCAGCAGAATATTTGGCTTCTTTTTGTTTCTTTTTCCAGCAGCCATGTTATCTGATGATTTTTGGTTTTCGAGTTGTTGATCATGATGCTTCCCATCCATTTTTATAAGGAATCTTTAAGGAAATCCACGCGCAAAAGTCTCCGAATAAAACACTCTGACAAAAAAAAAGATGAAGAAAAATTCAAAGGACTTAAACCCTAGCAAGTCAGACTATAAAATAATGAAATGTCCTAAACTCTTTCCTCTCGTTTCATAAAATTCATCAAAGTGGCAATTTCTTAGGAGGGAGCATAATTTGATTCTCGTAGAAATCGAGATCCATCACAAAAGGAAAGTAAAAGTGGAATCTTTTTAGCAAATTCAACAAAAAATTTGCTCATTCTCTCTCTTTGAGAGTTACATAAGTATTTTAATTCCACATAAGGCAAAACGGATCTTTCAGTAAAAACAAAACTCAACTTTAAAGCATTTGATCTTTTCGTGCGAAAAAGCCAACCATGATAGCATCATAATTTTTTTATTTTTTATTTTTTTAAAAAAAATGTATGATACAAGCACATAATGAGCACTACAATTATCAACTCCCAATGATACCCTTTCAAAAAAACTCCCAATGATACATATCAGTGGGGTTATACGTCAACATTATTTTTACGAGACAAACTTAATACACTATTTTCAATATTCAATGTTTATAACCTACTATATATATAACAAGTCATATTCGTACCCGATTGATACAAATCTATAGTTTTATTGGGTATATCTCATGCCGTATTCTTTTATCGCGTCACAAATCAGTTACTCCCTCCCTCACTTAAAACAGCCAGCTGTTAGGAATTTTTGTTTTAGGTTCTTGGAATTCAGGAAAAATCACAATCCATCAGCATCTTGGTGAGAAGTTTTCTAGGTTTTATGAGGTTGTGAAACTTTCTGGAAAATCATACATATGACTGAGTCACAAACCAACATGGACCTTTGAGTTTTGACATTTGAGGTTTTCATTGGTGACAATAATATTATATAAGCACCAGCTAAATATTCTTTGTACATAAGCTGTTAATTTATCTTCTTGTAATAAAGGATAATTATAATCCTATGCTTAATATTGTAAACCAGCTAGAGATTAGTGGAAGACAAAGGAAGAAACTTTCTTTGCTGTGGAGATCAAAATTACAGCATATACTGATTATAAAAGAAAAGACAAAAGCTTAATCCAAAATTTTTCTTGAATGATTCCTCTTATTTGGCCGGAATATTGAGCGGGACTTATCGTAAAGTCTAAATATTACTCCTTGAAATAATCTTCTGATTTGTCTATGAACCCAGAAAATATAGGTTTGGAACACTCAAGCTAGCTAAGAATAAGGCACTTTGCACCTTGGTTTTATCTCCTCAAGGACTAATTCCTTGTGATTAGGGTTTTGTAATGATCCATAGTCGCGTTTGATGAATAGTTCAACTATTTCTTGTGGTTCATTTTGAAGTGTACAAATGTGATTATATATCCATCCGTTAGTCGCTAATGTGGGTTGGCTTGGAAAACTTATACAGTATACGTTGAAAATGATTTGGTAATCCTAAGTAAATCTTTACCTATAGCATTTTTTAAATATTTTTTTTACAATAAAATTAAGAGGCTCACGTCTAATAACTATATGATTACAGTACCATGGTATAACATTCCTATAACATTTTGGTGGAGTCACGGTTTAACTCCTTATGGAGAAGGCTCTAACCATTGCATCCCTTCTAATCATTGAGCTACTAACGACACCAGGTAATCTTTACCCTATTATAGTATTATTTCAAAGCGTAGCTAGAGTCTTTTTTCTATCTTTCAAATTAATCTTATTAGGAAAAAGAAAAAGTAAATTCTTTTGATGGACAACAAATTACTTTTGAGAATGAGGTTAGTGTTTATCCCAAGTTGCTAATCATTTGGTTGAATGTGAGCGCATCTTTCTTTTTTGTCAGGTACTAACTGTCGGATGCAAATGTTTAATAGTCCTTAGAAATCTGCGCAAATATAGAAGCCAACACATTTAGTTAAAATAATACCTTGGGTCTTAGGTTTGGAACTTACGAACGAGCAATTGTCCTAAACCTATGGAATCGCAGCCAAAAATGAAATGATTAAAAGTATCATCTTGTGCTTGTCACTACAATTCTAGCAAAAGCATGTTATACAGCTGGTATTCTTTTTTAAATAAAATTCTCCTAACAAGTATTATAATCTTGAATTCGTATTTCTAAATGGAATTTTTTTTAGATTTATAAGTGGTCCGGGTTAGAAATTGTATTGTGATACGTGAACTTTTTACACTCTCTTACTTTTTATTTTATTTTTTTCTATGCAACTCCAAACTGCATTTCTGTAATATTGGACTGTGAAGAAGCAAGTTCTCCAGGAAAATTTTATGACTTTCTGTATTATCAAGGAATAATTGAACGGTTTTATGCTGAATGATTAGAAAGATACAAAGGCTTAAACCCCACCAATAAAATAAATAAATAAAAAAAATCATTGTACGATTGTACGAGGTTAATTTGGTATTTCTGGTGAACTCATTCGAGATTCTGATTCCCCTCGATCTTATATCCCAATATATATCTGTCAATTAACTCTTAAGTGTCAACTTTAAAGCCTAAACCTATTTTGCCTTTTTTACTTTCTTTTTTTTTCTCCACAGAGATTGGACAGACTTAGAGGACAAATGATTTTATTCCAATCCTAATCATGAATGTCAAAGGGGGTATATTTATTCAAGATTTAGTATGAATCCAAACTCGATATTGTGCGAAATTCATGAATATATCCAGCTAGAATTGTACGTAACAGAATCTCGATCAAATTTACAAAAATGCATCGAAAATCTTGACCTAAAAATTTGTGGAGGGCTATTTAGCTTACGATGTTTTGAGTGATTCACCGTCAGCAATTGAATTGCCACTGAAATACGATATTTCATAAATTCCCAACCCTCGTAACCTTCTTTTCATTTCTTTTAGATTTTTGCCTCTTGAAAAGAAAAACTCTCAGCATATGCCATTTGATTTTTTTTTTTTCCGGTTTGGATGTTATTGGACGTCAAATCCAATTCCAATTCTAGTTTAATTAATTCAATTTATTTGTAGTTTACTTCCATTTCAAGATCATTGCCATTTCTTGTGAATTATATTTTTCGATTTGGACAACGAAAGTTTTGATTCCAATGGCGACTCATTGGTTACGTTGGGGCATCCAATCACTAGCTTGTATTTTACAATAATTTATAGGAGTAAGATGACAACAATTAAATTATATATTCGATGGGATTAATTAAAACCTTTTGTAATATCACATTTAGATCAGAAAATATATTCACCATTTGGGTCAATTTGATTAAGGTTGTTTAGAATTTGTCCAGCTCGATAAATTATGTCTCATTACGAGACAAAATATAACTTCCTGGTAAGAAGTCTCCTCTAATTATCAAGAAAAGAAGTAGCAGTTCTATAGTGAGTCAAACATGTTCAAGCTAGAATAAAACTCCCTTCGATCCTTATTATAAGTCATTTTGATTTATTCTAAATTTCACCTAAAATATTTTTTTAATTAGAAAAAAATAATCTTAGAAATATTTTCTAATAATTAAGAGAACACAACAAATATTAGGGAAAAAAATTTAAGGTTTTTTTTCTAATTAAAAAGACATTTTAATGAAACTATGACCAATCAAAATGTCTTATACTACCTCCGTCCCAAAAAAAAGTTCACATTGAGTTTTTAAATTTGTACAAATTTAAAAACTCAATGTGAACTTTTTTTTGGGACGGATGGAGTGATAACAACCGGAGGGAGTATCAAGTTCCCATCTCCGGAGGGAGTATCAAGTTCCCATCTTTCCAAACACCAATGTCTATCTTAATAAAGGGTATAACCATTGAAGATATGACGGTCTTTTTTTACACTATAGACCATCTTTAAATCGCGTGATTGGTGGAAATATTTATGATCTTAGTAATAATTAAAAGTTCACCAGTTTGATTTTTATTGGGTGCAAATATGCATTAGTTCCTCCAATAGCCCGCAGTAAAAGTGTGTTCTAATCAGAAATTTTGCAGTTGTTTTGCAGCACTGTTGAAGTGTGGATGTATAGATACAAAATTACGCTCAAGGACGGATTTTGTGGATCTTGTGCATGATAAGTAGAATTTGTGAAATCGGGAAAAAATAAGCTAGTGAAATTCGAAACAAAGATTAATGCTTTTAAGAATGGTGGTTTAAAACTCAAAGTGTTTCATCCCCGTAATGTAATTCTTAAATCTTAAGACGTGAGTCTCCTTCCTTTGCGACAAAAAAAAAAAAAAAAAGAAGGCTTTACTATATTAATTATTCAAAATATTTCAATTTCCAATTCTTCCAAGCGCTAATTATATGCTGAAAGAATCACCGGAAATAACAATGTCTTTCGTTTCTTCTTCTTTTTATTTTTTATTTTTTTTTTAATTTTTGGGTTTTTTTTTTATAAAAAAAAGAGGGTTTGGTCAACGTGGTTTCCTAGATTTCCTTATTTATAAATTCCAGCCCTACTTTGTGTCCCATTTTCCACATGGTTCAGGTGCTGGAATACTTTTAACTCACGAGTCACACAATATTATTGAGCTTCATTTTTCACTTGGAGGCAGTCAATTTAGAGCAATTATTCAAGGTGTTTTACCGTGCAAATGGATTTTTTTACCTTTGTCATTGCCAATTACCAAGAGAGATCATCATTCATCCTCAAGGAAATTGTACGATTTTCGAAGTGTATTAGTACGAAATTTTGCTAGTTTGATAATCCATCTTCATCTGCATTTCATATCTAACAACACATTCAAGCATTTTTATCTTCATCAGGTGGTTTGACTTTGTTTCATCATAACAAGTAGTTATTGGATCATACTTCACATATAAAGTTGTTCACAATGATTAAGTTGAGGAACAGTATATTTGTTAACTTCATATTTGTTTGCGTGTTACATTAGTCGCTGAATAAATTCACTGACTTTAACATTACTCGAGTCATTACATATAGGTTTCCAAACATTAATCCCCACTAGAATTGCAGACCAAATTTTCTTTCTTTTTATCAGCATTCCATCCATTTTCACATGATTAGCTACATGGTTGATTTTAGTTTAGAGAATGCTAGAAAATGGTGAAATGTAAGGCACTTTCAAATGCATTTACAATTCATGAATCTGAGAATAATGGCCTAATAAAAATATGAATCAAGGCATCAGCAAAATGAATCAAAATTTCCAAACTGCAAGGAAATGAATTGGAGTTTCCTTCCACCCAACTGTCATGCCTTTTCCATTCCTCTTCAGAGTACATGAACTCCAAAGAGGATTGCTTTTGGCCATCAGTGTTGCTTGATACAAAGCCTCATCACTGAGAGCAATTTCATAAATCCCAAATCTTTTGAATAGTGTTCTCCAAAATGTTATGCTTTCTTGACGATGAATGCTCTCTTCACCCTTAGAAGTGACAAGGTAACGAATCCCTTCGCGCAAGAAGACACCTTCAATAATTGCTCTAGACTGACTTTCTTGTTTTATGCAATGATCAAGACAATCAAACATGGCTGCTGAGATTGAAAGTGATGCGTTGAATCGATCCATGAAACCAGGCGCATTCGTGTTTGAGTCCACTTCCATTGTCACCATCACGCGAGGTTTCAGCTTCTTTAATGTTTTCAGCAGAGATTCCAGGTGATGAGGCCAGGCTAACAGAGTTGCCAGGCGCAACTCTGAGTATACAGCCAGCAGTTCATCGGATGCTAACTCGAAAAAATTTATTTCCAGGTTCTTCAAATCTGATACTACTATTCTGAATGCAAATGGGATGTTCAGGCTCTCAGCAAATGATGACAAGTTGTTTCCAATTTCTTCAATCATCCCTTTTGATGATCCTATGGCAGTTATCTTGAGGGATTCAATGGGATATTCGCGCCTGGTGGCGAGAGCTTGCATCAGGATCGGCCATTGTGATCCATTTTTGATTCCTAAATCCACCAGATGAAGTTTCCTGGATGATCCCACATTTTCCAGGATCGCTTGAATTGCTGTGAATTGATTGATCCGACAAAAAGGTAATGATTCCTGCATATCCACCGTTATGTTCTGCAAGTTTGAAAGAGTTTCTTCAAATGATGTTTTGCCTGTTTTGTCTTCTTCTTGTAGAATCACTTCCTCAGATTCCCCCATCTCTGTTAAGATACGCTCTTGGAGAGCTTCAGTGTAGTAATAGAGCAATCGCTGAAGCGGATTGCCTTTAGGAGAAGCAGAATTTCGACAAATACTGAGCAGATTTCTTGCCTGAACAAACTGTTGCATGGAGAAATGAAAGGCAGCAGCTTGGAGACTTATGGCAAGCTCAAGATCATTTGACTGTTGGGAATGCAGAGAAGGGCTATTAAGATCAGGAAAATAATCAGAGCTCTGATCAGAGTTACAGCCTGACACTATTTCTTTGGCCTTTTTGATGAGATAAACCAAACAAATTTCTTGAGAGGAAATGCTAGATTGTTTGGTATCGTAGTTTTCTCTTTGGACTTGTTTGCTCTCATACTGTTTCTTAAGGATATTCAATGATGTCAAAGGAAGATGCGGACTTTTTCGCTTTTTCTGATCAAGAAAAGACATGTTAGCAGCAAGTTGACTAACTGAATGTTGTTGCTGAAATGCAGATTTCGCTTGTGTACTTTGTGGCATTTTAAACAAAATTTTACCGGTATTTTTAATGTCAAATCACAGATGAGAATACAAACTGAAAAAGAATCTCAACAAGGAGAAATCACAAAAAATTTCTATAAAAAAAAATCTTCAAGATGCTTTCGGATACGCTAAAATCCAACAATGCATTGTTCCTGAAGTTCCTGTGCTCCTCTACTTCTTGTATGGATCGACACGAAATGATTAGCCTTTTTGTTCATTCCCTGAAATCATTTTTACTACTTATGTAGCTTTGTTTTATCTGTTTGGAAAGAAGAAAGGCCGGCTGTTTTGGGAAAAGGAACTAAAGCCAAAGCACATACATCCAGCAGCAGCCTGTTGCTTTCAGCGATTCTGCGACAATTTACTTCTCAAAATAGTCATCTGAATTGACGTTTAATAAGTTTGGTTTTCTTGCTATCAGATGCCTTCCATACCTAATATGGTCTATTGTTATGCTGCAAAATCTTAAAAAAACTCAACTTCTCCTGGAAGTAGTGTTTTGTCCATACCTTTAACAACATATTCCACAAAGCTGAAAAGCTGTCATTTGGTAAGTGGATCTATTCTCACCTTAAGGATTCGAAAGAAGTCAATTTCACCTACTGAAAATAGTAACATAACAGAAGAGAAGACTCAAAACTTGCTTGAATCCTTCACGGCTAATTTTGCTTCGTGACGTTTCCTGAACTTTTGGTAGTTTGAAGATTGGTCATAGCTGTAGTTTTTATCAGTTAAAGGAATGTATCAGTGATCAATGCTGAAACTTTGGCAGACTGTTTTTTTTTTCCTTCCTCATTTTCAACTTTTACTGAACATTATATCCAGAAGGCATTGAGGCGACACACTCGATCTTTTCGTCGTTGCAAATGCTGGTTTTGGACCTATGTGTTTATCTGTTTCTGTGATGATGCTGAGGCAAATGTCCAAAACCACTCAATGAATCAGCCAGATCAAAACAAAGAGTTCCTTGGGAATCCTCTAAGTTTGTCTGATTCTCCGTTTTTCTTTCTTTTTATTTTTCGTACATTACATATGCGGTGTCCAAAACCATTTTCCTTACTAATTCATATTTCATTCGGATAAGTTCCTTTCGGGAGGCAAAACTGATCAATACCAAGAGTGAGATCAACAAAAGCATCCAATATCTTTATGACTTTGTATCTCGTCGACTTAGTCATCGGGATAAGATTCCCGACGAAAATTCAAAAGTCGACGAAATCTTCAGGGAGATAAAATTAAATCTTCAGTTCAAAAGTCAATCTTAGTTTTGTAATGACATGACCATTTTATTATTACATGCTTACAGAATCTTAGAAAATGTTGATAAAATGTAGTAGAATATATTTTCAAAAGCTAGGTGCAACTTCATCTACTCATGGAACATTTCAAAACCACCTACTGATCAGAAAATGAATCACACTTCCAAACATTGAGAAAATGTACTGTTGCTCCCTTCCATCCTACTGTCATGCCTTTTCCATCGCGCTCGAGAGTACACGAACTCCAACGAGGATTGCTTTCGACAACCAAGGTCGCTTGATATGAAGCCCAACTGCTAAGCTCAAGTTCAACCATGCCACATTTTTCGAATAAATCTCTCCAGAAACCAACGTTTTCTTGGCGATGAATATCCTCTTCACCCTTGGATGTGACCAGGTAATGAATCCCTCGACGAAAAAGTACACCTTCAACAATTGCTCTAGACAGACTGTCTCGTCCCATGCAAACATCAAGACAGTCGAGCATTGCAGCAGTAACGAAAAGCGATGCATTAAAACGGTCCAGGAAATTCGGCGTGTTTGTGTTTGAGTCAATTTCAATAGTCACCATTACACAAGGCCTCATTTTCTTAATAGTTTCTATCAGAGATTCCAGGTGGTGAGGCCATGCTAACAAGCTCGCCAGGCGCAACTCTGAATAGACAGCCAGTGCTTCATCGGGTTCTAACTCAAAGAATTCGATATCCAGGTTCTTCAAGTCAGTTACTACTGTTTTGAATGCAAATGGAATGTTCAGACTTTTAGCAAAAGATGACAACTTATTTCCTGTCTCCTCAATCATCTCTTTTGATGATCCTACTGCAGTTATCTTGAGAAACTCGAGGGGGCAATCACGCCTGCTAGCTAGAGCTTGCATCAACATCGGCCATTGTGATCCGCTTCTGATTTCCAAATCCACCAGATGAACCCTCCTGGATGATGCTACATTGTCCAGTATGGCTTGAACAGCAGTGAATTGAGTGACAGGACAGAATGGCATTTTTTGATTACATTCCAAAACTGCAGCCTGAACAGTTCTAATTGATTCTCTTAATGCTGGATACTTTTGACAGCCATTTGGTGTTTTGTGAAGAATTTCCCCCCCAATCTCCCCTACAATGCCCTCCTGGAGAGCTTCAGTATAATAATACAGCAATCTTTGAAGCGTATTTCCATCATGCGAAGCGTGGCGCTGACAAATGTTGAGCAGATTTCTGGCCTGATGAAACTGTTGTCTGGAGAAGTTGATGGCAGCAGCTTGGAGAACTATTACAAGCTGAAGATCTTTGGACGTTATCGATGGCCAAACAAAGCTATTATGATAAATAAAATTATCCGAGTTTTGAGAAATGGCTACTGACATTGTCTCCTTGGCCATTTTGATGAGATCAATGACAGAGATTTCATGAGAGGAAATGCGGGATTGCTTGGTAATGATGGATTGTTCTACAAATATCTGTTTGCTTTCATACTGTTTCTTAAGGATACTCAATGACATTGAAGGAAGAATCAGGTCATACTTCCTCTTCCTCTGAGCTAGAAAAGACATGTTTCCCGAGTTAAGCAATTCAATGTTGTTTCTGAAATGTTGATTTCTCGTGCCACCTTTATAGTTTCGATGTCAACAGAACATTCAACGAAGATTCTAAACAAGAAAGGACAACAGAATTCTAAATTTAAAAATATCATAGAAAAAAGAAATCTTCAAGATGCTTTCTCATACACTAGAATCCAAAAATGGATGTTCCTCAAACTCTATTACTCCTCTGCTCGTAAAGATTGACATGAAATGATGGGAGATCTTATATACTCACAGATGCCTGAAATTCTTGTATTCCTCTACGTTTTGCGTGGATCGACCTGAAGTGATGTGATCTTTTAGACCTTGGTTCAGTCCCTACAAACTGTAATACAAATAAGTATACTTGTTTCATATGTTTGGAAGAACAAGGCTGGTTTGTAGTTGGAAACAAAATCCAGGAACAAGCATCCAGCAGCCTAAATGTTAACATAGTCATTGCATGTAGGACAATTTTCTTTCCCAATCTAGTCATTCAGGTTGACATTTGAGTATGTTCTTTTTGCAATTAGATGCCTTTTAGACCTTATATGGTCAAATTTTATTTAGCAATATCCTTCAGGAATCTTAATTTATCTCGGCTTAGAAGTAGTGTTTTGTCCATACTTCTCACAGCATATTCTGCTAAACTAAGACATTGGAATTTTGCCAGTGGATTCATCCTCAAATACTTGTGCAGATTCTATCGAATAAGAGTGAATAGAGAGAAGACAACATATGTCCTACTGAAAACTGTGACTACGGACTGAGAGTTGATGAAGAGCATTTCTACTAAGTTTGCACATGATACATCTAGGAGTTAAAGAATAACTGCAGGTTGAAAATTCAGGTTATAGGACAAAGTTACATTAGTTCTATCAGTCAGAGAAATGAACAGCGTTGATCAATTCTGAAAATTTGGAAGTTAGATTCCGTCCTTCAGTAGTTTCAGCTTTTTGGCCTTGTGTAACAAGCTTTGCTATGATGATGACCTATGACAAAACATCAAAACTATGACCTATTTCTCAATATCTTTACCATTTGCAGGATGACTGCCATCTCTAAGAACTTTCTTGGGAATGTTATTGGTTCTTTTGTTCATGTTATATTGCTTTCAGATTGGGCAGAATGAACCATGAAAACAGTCAAAAAAAGCATAAGAGTAATCATTGCAAGTTTAACTGGTTGACCTAATTCCTAAAACAAGTTGCAAAACAGCATGGATAGATTAAGTGTCATCATTCTTATCCCTTTTGTCACAAGACCATTTAGAAGAATGTGCCACATAACAAAGTCAAATGTAACCCTCATCTTAGTAATCAAATCTCAGTGATTTTCTGTTAAGACTTACTATAGGCTCGTCAGAATATATGTAGATATGTAACTCCAGCTTACTACAAGTAATTTAACTTATTCTCTTGGTGAAAATCGAATCACAAACTGTTTACCAAGTTTGTGTTTTATCAGTTCAAGCACTAACAAGTGCATTGCGGCTAACATAAACAGATCTAAAGGACAAATAACAAGTATGATCAACACATCAAAGAACAACTTAACTTCTGAAACCATACTAGGTAAGGAGCAACAGGTTTATAAATATTCAGGCAGCGGCACTTCCATCAACACTTCCAGACAGTGAGGAAATGAACAGGAGTTCCCTTCCACCCTACTGTCATACCTTTACCATTACACTCTACAGTGCATGAACCCCAACGAGGATTGCTTTTGACGGTCAAGGTTGCTTGGTACAAAGCGCAGTTGCTGAGTGCAATTTCAAACATGCCAAGTTTTCGAAATAAGGTTCTCCAGAAACCAACACTTTCCTGTCGATGCATACTTTCCTCACCTTTGGATGTGATGAGGTACTTGATACTTTGGCGCAGCATGACACTTTCGATAATCTCCCTAGACTTTCTGTTTTGTTTCATGCAAACTTCAAGACTATCGAACATTACAGCAGAGAGAGAGAGTGATGCATTAAACCGGTCCAGGAAAATAGGCGCATTTGTGTTGGAGTCGACTTCAATGGTTACTATAACTTTAGGCCTGAGCTTCTTGATAGTCTCTAGAACCGATACCAAGTGATGAGGCCATGCCAATAACGTCGCCAGGCGCAACTCAGAGTAAACAGCTAGTGTTTCATCGGCTGCTAACTCAAAGAAATGTTTATCAAGGTTCTTCAAATCTGATATCACCATTTTGAATGCAAATGGTATTTTCAAGCTCGCAGCAAAAGAAGACAACTCATTACCTATCTTCTCAAGCATCTCTTTTGATGATCCTACAACAGTTATCTTGAGATACTCAAGGGGACAGTTGTTCCTGTTAATCAGGGCTTGCATCAAGATCGGCCATTGTGTACCACTTTTGATTCCAAAATCTACCACGTGAATCTTTCTGGCTGAGGCCACGTTCTCCAGTAAAGCCTGAATTGCAGTGAATTGAGAGACTGGACAGAAAGGCATTCTATCATTAAAGTCTGACGATGCAGCAAGCAAAATATCAAAAGCTTTCTCAAATGCTGGACATTTTTGACTTTCTTTTGGTGCCTCTTGAAGACTTACTTCCCCCCTCTCTGCTGAAATGCCCTCTTGGAGAGCTTCAGCGAAGTAGTAGATCAGTCTTTGAAGCGGAGTGCCCTCAGGAGAAGCGCAGCGTTGACAAAAGCTGAGCCGATTTCTAGCCTGATCAAACTGTTGTTTCGAGAAACTAATGGCGGCAGCTTGAAGACTTAATACAAGCTCAAGGTCTTTGGACTTCTCAGATTGCAGAAGAAAGCTACTATCATAAGCAACGCAATCAGAATTCTGTGAAATGCATTGAGACATAGTTTCAGTGGCCATCCTGACAATATCAACTACAGAAATTTCTTGAGAGGAAATCATAGATAGTTTAGTAACCGCATTTTCCTTACAACTCTGTTTGCTTTCACACTGTTTTTTAAGGATACTCATTGATGTTGAAGGAAGAGGCGGGTTTTCCCGCTTTTTCTGAGCAAGAAAAGACATGTTTTCCAACAACTCTGCTAGCTGAATGCTATTGCTGGAGAATGCATGGAGTTTCTGTTATCCACTTTGCGGGTTCTTAAACAAAATATTGCAGGCAAAGTCTACTAAGTGCCAAAAAGGAACACAAATCACATTTGGAATAATCTCAATACAATATAACAGCAGACTTGAGCACGTTAGTCCAAGATGCTTTCCTATAATTAAAATCCAACTATGTCCCTTCATTCCTCCACGCGTATAGACAAGAATTGATGAGGTATTTTAAACTTTTTGTTTAATTTTGACTGGTTTGTAGTGCATATCTAGTTTTGGTCTTTCTATGTTTCTGAGGAAGTAAAGGCCGGCAATTCTAGATGAGACAATAAAAGTTGAAGTAGAATGCATCCAACAGGACTCTATTACTTATTCTTTTATCTCTGGCATTTTCGTACATCCTGATTCTCCTTCATTGTCATACTGTTTATAAATGGCTAAAAGGAATCATAGAAACATTGAAAATGCTTCAGTGCAGAAGATCAAAGCTAATGCAGATATGACAGCGACAGAGCAGGGACCGAACCTGTTACCACCTTTATGTGCAAGTTTCTTACAACAGAGCTGAAATTTGGAACAACTGACCAAACAGAATGGATTTACCTGGATTTTATTGAAAAAGAGTATCAGAAAACCGCCTTTTGGTTTTCCAATACTATAAAGTTATGTTCTTGAGCTTAATGGGATCCAACACCTCAAGCCAAAAAAAAGGGTTCTGAACCCATGCTGAAAGTTCATTTCACTACCGAGAATTCTAGTCCCTTTGTTTTCCAATGTTAATACAGAAATTAAGTAAAACATGTCCAGTTCAAAGTTATGCCTACCTCTTTTACTCCCATTAACATGTAGCATGTCCAAAAACAAAAGCATTTGCCGCAGTCCAAATGTAATTACAGTATCAGAGACAATTGAGTTTGGAATATGAATGTAATTACAGTTCAACCGCCTTTTGGTTTTCCAATGCTATAAAGTTATGTTCTTGAGCTTAATGGGATCCAACACCTCAAGCCAAAGCAATATAGAAGTACATTCCCTAAGCGGAAACAGTGAACAGAACTTAAGGAAAAGGCAGAAGATTGTCTCAAGTGGGGATGCATGGAGTTCTGCAAGCCCAGAACAGTATGCATCCACTACCATCCATTTCGAAGAAGATACTTTTAAGTTTAAATAGTTGTTGATCTGAAGGGTGCAATCATCAGATAATTTAACCGAGCACATTGCAAAACTATGCAACTACATGATTTGATTGGTGAGATCCCGGGTTTCAAAGATAAAAACACTGCCGGATGCTAGTACAATGGTTCCATACATCACTTGCAGCTACAGGCTTCACAGGAGAGCAAGAAGTTTATAAGAAACACCACCCATGACACCTAAATAAGAAAAGAACAAAAGTGAATTGACGAGTTGAAGAGGTAACCATTCAAGGTGAAGAATTGGATGCATAAGTATGTATCTTACAGATTATATGCAAAAGGCCTAATGAGTATCAACTCGGCCTGGAATCGTAGTTCAGTCGAACGAGGAGACATCAGAGCTATGCATAGGTTTGACAGGAACTGTACTGGGATTCGGAGACTCATGTATAACACAATGCCCCAAATTCGGTCCTCTCTCTGCAGAGCTGGCTTTTTCTGCCAAGGACGTAGTGAAGGGAACACTACCACCAGTCCTTTTGGAAGAGAGATCAAGCCTTTCGATCATTCGCGCGACCCCAGCAATGCCAGCACTCATCTCACGTTGAACTCCTCTACCCAGTTCCTTGACCGTGGAGTTGCGAGCTAATAACTTTTCCTTAAAGCCACGTGTGCTTTTTGAAAGTGACTCTTTATATCTGTGGCATAATGGTTCCAAAACTCAGGAAAAGAGGCACTGAGAAAAAGCTAACATTACACATATATACGGTTATTCTTTTTTACCTTGCAGAAGCAGCAGAAAATTTAGCTTTGACAGACTCTGAAAAGGCAATGAACTCAGAGGGACTCGATCTCTGAGGACCATCAGGCGATGAATGGCCAAAAAGAATCCTGTACAAGTACATTAATGAGAAACTGTTGTTCACAAAGAAGTCCAAAACAATACAGCAAGATGGACCATACTACAACATCTCTAGGGGTTACCAATACCAAGATCGGATATGGATTGTAAAGCGCCGAGTAAATAACTACTCTTACAGCTATTTAGATTCAACTTGAAACGCAGCCGTGTTGAATATCAACCATATAAGCCATCTCAACCAACATAACAGAAGTGTATTACAACTGAAGACTTCAGCAATAATGGCTACATATTCCACAGTAATTAATTAGAAAGATAAATTTCTAAGAGGACAAAATCCAATACAGAGGCCAGTCACAAATAGTACATCGACCAGATAATGTATCTTTCATGGAAGTCTGAAACTGGGGACCTTGCAATTGTAAAATGTTACAAGCTGCTTTTGTGGATGAAGTAAAATCCATCCAAGGCAAGAAAAAGATGCCAATTAGCCAGAAACGGGAAACATCAACAAAGCTGATAAATCCACCTTGCATCACAGTGACATTTGGTTCTCTTTATCCAGCCTCCATCTTTTTATGTTCATAAGTTACAATTACAAAGTATATAATAAAACAACCAGCTCGCTAAGGAACAAGGATAGACTTGTTATGACCATTTTGCCTATTAGTAGAAACACTCCAATCGGACTGGTAATCACAATGGATAATTACCTTGGACTTTGCTACAAGTTTCAAGCTATGTTCAACAAAGAAGAATGAAATTTTTGGTTGTATTTGTACCTTTGGTGGAAATGACCATCTTCAGTTTCTGAAGTATGCGTAGGAGACAGATCTGGTTCAGGTGTACTGGCTGATGCACCTGCCGTAGTCGAGCCAACTGCCAATCCATAATTTATATTCTCCATTTCATCACCTGAGTTATTGAAATGTGCACCAAAAGACACCGATGGAAAAACTTCCAAAGAATCTCTTCTTGATGATATTTGCCTTCTCCTTTGAATGTGATGGTGCGTTCTACCCGTGGCAGCAGCAAAATGCTGAAGAATTCGCTCCTCCAAATCAGAATCATTTACGTAAGCAGCCACCTGAAAAATCATACTCATTTACTTAGGATGAACTTGGCAACAGGCCTAGGATTTCAACCATAATTTTTTTTTTTTTATTTGTATAACCTATGTAACATACATGGCTAGTTTCATCCCCTCGGACAATGCGGATATTATTTCTTGACCTCATGCTTTTTTCAATTTTGGCAGCTTCCAAAAGCTCTTGGCTAGTGAGAAAAATGCAAACAGTTAAAACTTTGAAATACAGCAATCAAATGCAGCAAATTAGGGAAAGAAGCCAGCACCATATGGTATTTGCATACCTAGTGGGATCCTTTAAGACAAGAAGCTGACAACATATTGGGCATTCAGTACTTCTCTGAGACCTGAAAGATAGCATACACTAACCAAATTAAAACTATATTGGTCAAATTATAATGCTAGTTCATATTTGTACACAAGTCCATTCTGTGTCATAGAGAGAGCCTACCATTCAAGAATGCAGTGCAAATGATAGTCATGCTTACAATTCGTGACCTGCACCAGAAATCAACTAATCACTAAGCACTCACATACACGTTTAAATCAGAACAGCCACAAAGAAGAAAAGAGATATTTCGATTGCAGCCACACTGTAAGGCTCTGGATATATCAACTTATAAAAGTTAATGGCAAATCACAACAACAAAGCCGAAAGGGTCGGGCTTGTTATCCACACAAAAAAAAAAAAAAAAAAGTCTTCCCAGAAAAACCAAGAACTGTCAAAATTTTAGGCATATTTAATTCATTCTAACCTAAGAACATCTAAGACAGGCTTCAAAGTGGAATACAATCACATGATTAAAACTACTGAAAGCCTTCGACAGGCAATCCAGTGTTCAGCTAATCTAGAAAGGCGTGAATTTCAGCTAATGAAATTAAAGATAGAATTCAGCACTTCCTACCAAAGAATTCCAAAATAACGCTAATAACTACCTTCAAACCAAAATATCATCCACTCGAAAATCTGTAATCAGTACTACACAACAATTTTACGGTTTCCAACAAACTATTAAAACACAACAGAATGATGATCAGCATAATAAGGACTGCATTAACTCCATTGAGTTCATACTGGAAAAAGGCCAAAACTTTATTCAATCCCATCATAATCTAAGCAATTAGAAATCCCAAAAACATAGCAACAACAACAAAAAGGAAGAACTTGACCATCATCAGTCTTCATCCCCAAAAAATAATCCCATTTCTGATAACCGATCAAAACCAAAAACCCATTATTATTTTCCATCATTTCTGAAAGATTGATCACTAAGCACTCATCAAAACTGAAAAAAAAAAAAACACACAAACACACACACACGCACACAAAACAGAGATTAAAGAGCAGTACAGTGGGAGGATCCTGGGAGCTGAAGGGCTCAAGACAAATGCTACAACCGTCCTCAAAGCAATCCTCGGAGACAGAAAGAACATCAATAACAGCAGCAGAAGAAGTTTCAGATGATAAGCTTGATGGGGTGGATGAAAAGGACGCCATGATCGCCTTCATGGAATGATCAGGGAATGATGAAATTGTATCAGTGGCCACGGTTAAAGACATAATTTTTGGTAGTACTAAAAAACTCCTCTTCTTATGATTCAAAAACACGCACTGGAAATGTGTTGTGTGTGTGAAGTGTTGTGGGAATGCGGACACAGAAAGAGAAGCCTCTGGGCGTGGAAAAATAGAGAGAAAAACAGACAAGGTTTGAGTATAAGTGTGTGTTTGTCTGAGTGTGTGATTGTGTGTGTAAAAAGGTCAAGAAAAAAGAGGCAATTTTTTAATTTAAATTGGGCGGAAAAGGCAAATTTTTTAATATGTTTTATACACTATGATTTTTTAAAAAATAAAAAATAAAAATGGAACCTTTGATGGATTTGTTGATTAGTTTTTTTTAACAATTTACTATTTAGATATTTAAATGCTATTCCTTTGGAGAAGAAGAAGGTTTTGGTGGAATTAATCAACACCTTTTACCTTTTCAATTCTCACCTAATTCTTCTCCTCTTTTTTGGTGAATTTCTTTTTGACAAATTTGTGGGATTAATTTAATGTGATTTGATCCTCATAGAGTCATGAGGAGCACGTATAGGCTTGTTTTCTTGCTATTTTAAAGCCAGTGACTGAAAAAAGAAAAAAATTAGATATTATTCTAACTCTACCTCTATTTTTTATAAGATTTATTGTAGTCGTGCATAATTGGTAGTGTGTAAATGAGATGAAAGAGTCAAAAGATGTTTTATAGAGTATTATTTGTTTGAATACGTTGCTTGTTTTTTAAAATTTTTCGACATTTTAAATTACATGTTCATTATATAGTTATTAAAGAAAAAATAAATTAATTATTTAAAGATTGTTGCAACATAGAAACAATCTAATTGGATTGAATGAAAGGGGGGAAAATGGAAATGAAGCTAAAATCTATCCATTGACATTTTTGAAAACCTCAATTTGATAAGCAAACTAATTAAGAAAAAAAAATGAGGGGTGAAAGGTGGCGATACAAATCACACAACCAGACAACCACGTAACAAAAAATATTCACCTTTGACAATATTGAAGTTTCCATTAAGTTGTAAATATCTCAATAATTAAAATTATTAACGTCAACTTACATTTTATTTTGGCACTTAAAAGTGCAAAGTGTTTCAAATTGAAACTTAAATGAAAAATAAAAATGTTGTTTGGATGTTGGTTTTGAAAAAAAGTATTTTGAATTACATTGTGAAATATCAAGTACAAGTCATCACTAAATAATTAAATACTGTTAATTATAGTCACTGCAATAAAGAACTTTTCCAAAAATAATCACTCAACAACGGAATCCTGCCAAATTTGTCACTAAACTATTTGTGGTTCTAAAATAGTCATTACACTAACAAAAAGTGTTTCAAGTTGAAATTTAAAATGTAAATCAAAAAGTTGTTTGAATAATATTTTTTTTTCCATTGGGTTTTGTGTTTAAAAAATAAATGAATAAAAATATAAAATAAGTTGATGTCCAACCAGGGAACAAAATCTCAACTATTAAGATAAAAAGCTTGTAAAATACTGTAAATGCTCAAGAACACCCTGGTAAATTATCCTAGAACTAGGTTAATAATTGCATGTACGAACTCTATATATTAATGCACCGATGAATGACCAGAAATGGTCGAACAAGAAGAAGACTGAAAACCCTTTGAAGAGTAAAAACGAAGAAAAGCAGTGATTCTTTGAAGCTAAGTCAAATCTGGAGCTCTGTTTTCAAGATGACCAAATAAAGCAAAAAAAAAAAAAAAGACACACCTTTATGCACAGACGTCAACAAAGACTTTCTTTCACACACCAGAATCCAAAGGAGTGAACAGAATCTAACCAAAGATGTGTAGACACTAGAAAGAACTCAGGTAGGGTAGATTGATTGATTGATTCATCTCCCAGTGTCATTGTTTAAATTGACTCTTTTACTCTCACGTAAATACTTCATGTTGAGTTTTGAATTTTATACTATTTTTAGTACAAATTTAAAAATTCAATGTGGACTATTTTTGTGGGACGAAATGAGTAAATTTTAACAATGATGCTAGGAGATAAATAAAAAATTTGAAACATAATGTGGACTATCTTTTTAGAGTCGTAAGTATTAACATGTTATTAATAGAATTAAAAAAGAGAGAAAAAATGACATAATATTAAATTTTCCATGCACATTTCATTACTTAATATTGAATAATCTCATATTTCTGGAAAAATAATAATAAAAACATCTCTTTTTACCTCTTAAAAGCAGCTGCCATTTAAGTACAAAAGATGATTTTCCGCCTAAATTTTATTGATCATACGAGGTCGTTCTCTCCAGTTAAAAAAAAAAAAAAGGGATACATTTATATGAAAAATTTCCACAAATCAGGGAGTTAATTGATAACTTCTTCTTCGCATATCATTAACTACATAGCAGTTGCGGGAGAAGGTCATGCTAAGGGATTCTCATATCAATCGCTAACCAAAATTAACTCTCTAATTCAAACAAAAAAGTTGAACCCTAACTAAAAATTTAATCCTAAATAATACTCCCTCCGTCCCATAATTATTGTCCAATTTGGGTTTTCGTTTCTAGTTCAAATTGTATTAAAAGTGAAATCTCAAATTGGACAATAATTTTGGGACAGAACGAATAGATCAAAAGCTCTATGATGGAAAATTTGAATCCTACTATTCTTTAATTTGGAGAAAATATAAAGGGGTTTTGAATTTAAAATTTGAAGTAACCGTGTCCCTTTCATACTCTACTTTTTTTCATTGGTAGGTTGATTTTGTTACGAAGAACTTTATTTTTAAAAAAAAAACGATTAAGCTTTTGAGTTTTTTCTTTGATGATTGAAGTTTGATGTTAATTCTAATATGAACTTGTGACGGGCGAACTAATTTGTGAAACGCATTAGTATAATTTGATTTGTTTTTTTGGATCTGTCGGGTTTTTCTTTTTGTTGTTTCAATGAAAAAAAAAAAAAAAAAAAAGATACAAATGTTCTCATTTTATTTCTTGCGAATGCAAGGGTGAAGTTTCCATTGGCAACAAAGGAAGATAAAAACCTTTGGTTTCTGTCTCAATTGACGCATAATTTGATAACAATCTGATCGATTTGCTGCTACTGCACTTTCTTCCTTTCCTTTCTAGAAAACTCACGAGACGAGTTGGGAAGACTTTTCTTTCGACATCTTCTTCATGCTCCGGTCACATTTTCCCTTCAAATTCCATGAGTTTTGGTACGCATTTTAGGTCAAAGTGACTCCATCTTATTGTTACAATTTCTTCCACACCTGCTAGAGTTTCTGCATTTTCAGTTCTGAGTGACTGAGTTTTAGTGCCTCATGAATGTGTAAACTATAATTATATGTCATCGACATTTTGCTAAAAGAAATTTGATTTGATCAAGTAATTTCATATAATGCCAATAACGAAAATATGTGAAATTGGCCGGGCTGAGAATCTGTTTTTTTATTCCATGCCTCTACAATGCTTTTATCCATGCGTCCATCTTAAATATACTAAGAAAGGCAATATAATATTTTTTATTCCATGCCTCTACAATGCTTTTATCCACGCGTCCATCTACAACATACTAAGAAAGGCAACATAATATTTTTCTGCTGTGGAATTTTGAACCCGAGATTTCCAGGTTGGATGCCTAGCCCTTTACCACTTGATCCACCCCCTCTTAGCCTGAGAATCTAGTTGACAATTAATAGTCAAATGAGATAATGACAAATGAAAGACAAATATACCATTATCACTAAACATGTTTATTTATTAATTAAAGATAAAATGTAATTTTAGGAGAAAAATAAAATTTTAGCAAAAAAATAGTTTAAAAAAATAGAGAGTCATTAATATTCCTCATCACTCACTATTTCTTTCACTATCTTTTTTCAATATATATACTATTTTCCACCCCGAAAATACAAGACTGAGGTGAGATTGCTATGAAATTCATCTACTTACATATTTTATACGTCTCAAATTCTCCTTATTGATCAACTTCCTAAAACAAATAATTCCGTCTCGCTTGCAATTTGATATGTTCATGAATTTTCGTACTATATTTGACGTACAATGACAAAAAAAAAATAAAAAAAATTAAGAATCGTATTTCATTATTGATCCTTATTGTATATAATATATTTCCTGTCTCAAAATTATTGTCTAATTTAATATTTTACTTTTAGTACTTGTTCTTGACATATTGCACAATAAAAATGTACTTTATCCGTCACAAAATTATTATTTAATTTGAGATTTCATTTCTAGTAACCAGACCAAAAGTCTTTACTCGTGACTTTGTTCAATGGTTCATTTTAATCCAAGAGCAACACATTTTCAAGCCCAATAGTTTGGGCTACAAGGCCCAAAATCACCAAGAGCAAAACTGCCTGAAATTACAGTGGAACTGAGAAACTCTGAAAGAGGAAAACAATGGCGATATGCATTTCTTCTTCAACCCATTTTCCTTCTGTTTATCCTTCGAAATTCCGGCTTGGCTGTTGTTCTAATCTTTCTTACGTAAAACCCAACAAAATTTTCCTAGTTTTGAACTGTCGGAGCCGGAGTAAATGTAACCGGCCTTTTTCTTTCAAGACTGCGTCTTTGGCCTCTTCTTCCGTTCAACAACTCACCGGAGTCGAAACTGAAGAGAAGAAATTCCCCAAACTACGTGAAATCTGTGAGGGTCACGTGCCTGAGCACGTGATCAGCAGGCCAGTGTTCCTTATCCCTTTATCTTTACTATATTTGAAATGATTATGTTTTGAATTCATACTGTCTGGTAATTTTGTTTTTCAATCGAATGGGCAGTTTTTGAAGAATGTGTTTGATGAGATTGTCAATATTCATAAATTTAAGCTACTCTAGGAAGTGTTATTATCTGGTGTTGTACCTGTGCCAGATTGAATTTCTGGTTATAATACTCTCAATTTAGTGAAGATTAGTGTTTAGAGGAATTATTTTCCAAATTAATTTTTACTTATTCAATCCGATTTTTGAAAAGCATATTGGAAACCAACTAATATTTGTGTGTCATCTGTGAAGTGCAGTTGGTAAGTAGTCAGTGATCATTGTCTATCGAGGCTCTTTATATTGATTTACTTCTATCCCGTGTTTAATCTTCACTTTTTAGTACGAATCAGAACTAAAGAATAACATTTTTGCTAAATATTATGTTTCTTTGCACTAAAATTAGTTATAACCTGTACCAGGATGGAAGAAATTGGATACATTTTGCCTACTGATGTACAGCGGGAATCTTTACCTGTACTCTTCGCTGGCCAGGACTGCATTCTTCATGCTCAGGTCATTTGCTTCTGTAATTTAAAAGACAGAATGGCTGATAAATGTTCTTCCTCATTTTAAAGAAGGATGTGATTTGCAGCCCCTAACAGACTTGCTTTGTTCTATCTTGTTTTGATTCTATAGACAGGTTCTGGAAAAACTCTTGCATACCTACTTCAGGTTTTCTCAGAAATCAACCCTCAAAAATTTGGTGTTCAAGCACTGATTATTCTGCCCACAAGGGAGCTTGGCATGCAAGTATGAATTTCGTTCCTAAATCTTTATAGTATGACAACAAGAACAGAATCTAACGGCATTTGTCTCATTTGAAGGTTACAGAAGTTGCAAGAAGGCTTGCTGCTAAACCATTAGAGTCTGAACCAAAGCAAAAGTCCTGCACTGTCATGGCTCTGTTAGATGGAGGAACATTAAATAGACACAAAAAATGGTTAAAGGTAAAATTATTAACTCAAGTATCGAGAGTTTTCAGCTCATATCTGTGTGCGAACTTGATCAATAAAATAGTTTAGTAACAGAAGTTTTTTCTTTTTTTTTTGAATCATTTCATTGATGTTCTAGAGATCTTCGCCTTTGCTTTTGATATTTGTTACATTCTTTAAGATTAAGTCCCAAGGGTATTTGCAAGTCAATAATTTTCTGGTGCATCTTTTTGCTGTATATTGTTGTATTTGATATTGGTTGCCATTTATTGAGCTATACCGGCCTCAGTTTTTCTTGTCTCTTAATGAAGATGCTTTTCTTTGTCCAGGCAGAACCTCCGACTATAATAGTTGCTACTTTGGGAAGTTTGAGTCTTATGCTTGAAAAGCAGCTTTTTAGGTTGGAGACCATACGGGTGCTTGTAGTTGATGAGGTACACTGATCTAGTTTCATTTTCGCCTTTGGAAGCTTATATTTGTGACATTGTTTGTCTTGGGTAGTAAAAAACGAATTGGCCTTGTGATCTTGCGAGTTGCATATTATGTGCTTAATTTATGTTGCCGTTTTTGTGGATTCTTTTTGTTTTTTCAGAATTGCCAGTGATGTCTCTTTCCCCCCCTTCTTATTTTGATATAGTTGTTTGAATATGATACAAATTCATTGACCATTTTTAGGTTGATTTCATGTTCAATTCATCAAAGCAAGTTGATTCTCTTCGAAGGCTTTTGACATTATTCTCTTCAAATAGCAACCGTCAAACCATTTTTGCCAGTGCATCAGTTCCGCAGCCCAAACGGTTCCTGTATGACTGCATCCAGCACAAATGGACCAAGGTCTGAGTTGTTGAATACCTGTGTTTGCCATCTCCAGTGATCTAATATCAAATATTAAGACTATCGACTTCTTGAACACTCCCCCTGGTTGGTTTTATAGGGACTCTTTGTGATCAACACTAATTGTAATGTTTTGTTTACTTCTCTAATCATGCAGCGTGATGTAGTTCATGTCCATGTAAATGCACTTAAGCCAATGCCATCATGCCTGCATCATAGATTTGTGGTAAATGACTTCTCAATCCAAAATATAACTCTTTTACTTATAACCTTTTGTGATGTTTCCCATTATGGTTTCTATATCTACTTTCTTGTCATGATCATTAATCTAATTCCAGCCGTATTTTGGGCCTCATTTTTGGTTTCTGTAATATGTATTCTATTAGATGCATTATTGATGTTCTAGTATACTTAAATTTCATTTGGGGTTTCAGATATGTGGAAAAAGGGATAAGCATCAAACATTGCTCTCCTTGTTACATTCAGATGCACCTCGGTCCGCAATAGTTTTTGTTGGTGAACAGGTTAGCAGACATATTTCTCTATAATATGTTAATTTAGTGCTAATTCAACTCAAGTATTAGAAATTTTAAATTTTATATATTTTAAAAATGTGTTTTCAAACTGCACATATCGACATCATTGAGTTTCCTTCTTCTTTTTCTTTTTTTCTCAATAAACTAAATACTTCTAACACTCTATTATGCAGTCTGAAAAATCAAAGAAGGCTGGAAATTCCCCACCACTAGAACTTCTAGTTGATTTCTTGAAAGTGTCCTACATGGGAGGCTCTAAACTGATTGTTTTGGGAGAAGATATAAACTTTAATCAGCGAGCAACAACCCTGTTAGTAAGTATTGCTTGCTAGTTGGATATAGATCTTTATCATTTTGATAATTTGCTAACTTGGAAGAGGGGCAGAAAAAAAAATTTGCTTTACCAATATAGAGGCACATGAAAATCTCATCGTTTTTGTGATGCAGGATGTTAGAGGAGGAGGAGACTATCTTCTGGTTGCAACCGATATAGCAGCTAGAGGAGTTGATCTTCCAGAGACTACTCATATCTATAATTTTGATCTCCCAAGAGATGTGGTAAATTATCTTCATCGAGCTGGAAGAACAGGTAGGAAACCATTCTCAGATGAAAAATGTTTTGTGACCAATATCATAGCATCTGAAGAGCGATTTGTACTGCAGAGATTTGAAAATGAACTGAAGTTTTCCAGTGAAGAGATATTTGTTTGAATGTTGTAATACTGATCTTTTCTTTGTTTTTGGGGCCGTTAATATCACTTCAAATATCAATTTTGGGAGAATGGGTCAACTTCTTTCCCTTTTTTCACTCTCTTTTTCTCCTTCTGTTGTTCTCTCTACCCTTGAGCTCTTTTCTCATTCATCTTGATTATTTAGTAAAACCCTTGCACTGCCTTCAAAGTTCTTAATTTCTTTCACATGACTTCCGTGTGGATCTGATGGTTGGGGAATGGGCATCATTTGCAAAGGAGCTTAGAACAAAATCACGGTAGTTAGTTAGGACTAGCAAATACTAAGTTTAAGGTAGTCATCAGTTTACTATGTCCCTTCAGTACTGGACACTGGCTGAGTCTAGAGTGGTGAAATTTCGAAAAACTCGTTACAATATGATGTTGACTCAAGATCAATATAGTCTTAAAATATGGGAAACCGGTTCTTTACATGGTCACCAGATTATAGTAGTTCCTGATGCTGCACAGTCTTGCAAGTTATTAGTCTCACTTCCGGCAATGAATAGACACACTCAAACGTTCTGATGACATGAAGAGAACTTATGGCACTACTTCTGCCAGTTATAAGTGGAGACTAACTCCCGCTGGATTATTTTAATCTCATCGATTCTGGCCAAAATAGTCTTGTTCACCTCTTCCCAGGTCTGGAAGTCAGTATGCAGTTTATATCACAACTCCATCCTTGATGGTAGAGTTTTTTAGTATGACTGTAATTCCTGATCTTATATAAAATCCTTCTGATGATCTGTCTGCTTCCTGTATACCCTGTAAATTCAATGAGTAGCTAAGAATAAGCCAGGGTTGGTCATTAATGCTGACATTGCAAACCTCTATGTCAAATTTTCGTCATCCCAGCTAGTAAAAGCAAAGTTGGTTTAGCTTCATTAACAGTTTCTGGAAGCATCGTATAATAAATCCTGTTCGATTTATGCCAATGAAGTACTAGAAGTATTTTCTGCATAATCCTAGTTCAAAATTTTGTTTGCTAAATCCATCAGTTTGAGGGTTAAAATCAAGTTGCAATAGATTTGTAGGATGGAAGCCTTTACTGAGTAGATTTTAAGATTGAAGGTAGACCTTTGGATATAGTTTCAACGGCATATTTATTACTTCAGAAAAAAAGGACTTAAAGACTAAAGACCCAACTCCCTTGCAAGGATGACTGGAAATAAAGTTCTAGGAAAATGTACCTCTGAATTCTCAATGATGACATTTTTCCCTATTCTGGCATTTTTGTCAATAATGCAGCCCCTGACAAATGACAAAAAAATGCATTAGCCACAATTCTGACAAAACAATTACATATTTATGAAGAATTGAAGCAAACAGTGGTTGAAGTTATTTGTACTTTATTCTTGAGTTTTCTCCAATTCCAATCGGAACTCTTCCTTCAGCTAACTCTGAAGCAATCTCAGCATCTGTTTCATAGTAATCGGCACCCAACATCACTGTGTCCTGTAAAGAGAAGAGAATGCCATAGCCCATTATTAAGATTTATAAAATCTGATACTCCTACCCTCAAATTATTTACTGCAACCTTAGCCAAAATGGAGTAAAGAAACTGCTTCTGGCTATCTTGTTTAAGCTGTTAAGTGCATATGTAATTCCGAGTACTGAAATTATTCTAGATTTACCTTCAAGTGGACATTGGAGTTTATTCGGGATCTCACTCCAATGAGACTGTGCTCCACAAAGCAATTGGTCAAGAAACTACCATGTGAGACGATTGAATCAACAATCTGTAGGAGTGTATATGTCAATAAGCAAACAGTTATCCATGCCCACTCCTTAAAAGTAAAGTGGACAGTATCATGTTATCATAATCTTGTCCCACAATATAGCAACAGAAAATAACCTTGCAGTTGTCGATTTTTGATGGTGGCAAGTTTCTCCTTGATGTATAGATTGGCTTTGTAGCATCATAAAAACTAAATCTCGGTGGCTGAAAAAGGCAGCAAATGAATTAACTGGTGTGAGAATCCATGCTTTAGATAGTTTTTTAAGGAATAAAATCCTCACATTGCAAGAAATAAGGATGATGGAGTGATCTAGCGATTGTTCATTTCTTGTACAGTATGCTGATGCTACATGACTGTCTTCTATTCTTTGCGTTAGAGGTAAGCGTGCAATAATAAGCACATTCTGGACTTAAATTTCTTATCTTCTCTTTCTGCGTTAAAGCTGTGTTGCGAATTGTCTCTTTTATTTATGCATCAGAATGTTAAGTTCAGATGCGCATCTATGATTCAAGAAGTGTAGATGTGATTGCTACTTACATGCTCTGTAAGGGCAAGGTTTGCTTCAAAAAATGATTTGATTGTCCCGATGTCCTCCCAGTAGTCATTAAATAGATAAGCCTGCAAAGATAAACCATGCAGTTTTTGTGTGCTGAAAATCAACAGGTTGCAACTAACTGTTGATATTTTTTGAATTGCATGAGCAGTTTGAGTTCCATCTTAGAAAACCTCAACGAAAGATAAACTAGCAGGTAGCAAAAGGGGAAGAAGAAAAAGAGAAGACTAAACCTGCCTTTATGTAGTATTCTCCTGCTGATGCTGGTATAATTTCTGACCCAAAATCATTTGCTGTAGGAAAACGCCACCTGAAGCAGCATATTGAAACATTACCAGTTAATATTTGTCTGCCTTAGAATCATTTGTAAACTGATTTCACAATATATGTAAACTGACTAAAGAAAGAACACCACCTTAAAAGGTTTAGAAGAATTTCCTTTTTGAAGACATAAACCCCCATTGAAGCGATATATGGTTTTTTCTCAGCTTCTTCTCGAGATAATCCCAGTACAGTTGTGTCAACTGCCTATAGTACTTACTGTCACTTTCATTGGATTTTGGTGTATGTTTGGTCAAGAAAAAATGTTAAAAAGTTTGGGTATTACCATTGCCTTCAGGTCATCTCCTCTGGGTTTCTCACTGAAAGATATAACCCTTCCCTTGTTGTCGATCTTCATCAACCCAAAATCTGATGCACGGCTACACATGGGGAAAAAAGAAAATGCAGAAGTAAGTTGTCAGTTATTGATGAATTTGTTAATTAGATGATCTATATTGACTTGCAACTTGCTAGTTCTGAACCACTCTTGGAAGTAACGAATCTCTTGATTTGTAGGATAATTACTTTGACCAAGTTAGGTTTTACAAACTGAGTCCAGCGTAGTTTCTCGGTAATATTTTAGCATAATCTCCCGTGAATATATCCTACCTGTCATCTATGGGCAGACATGATATTGAGATATCTGCACCACTTTGTCTGTGATCCTGTGAAAATGAAATTTGAGTGTGCGAAAATTGTTTGTGACATTTAGTTGAAGGCAAGCATGATCAATCTTCACCTGGACAAAGTCCATGTAGTCCATTCTGTATAAGTGATCTCCTGATAGAATGAGTACATCTTCAATGTCCTTGCTTCTTTGATCCTGCAATTTGTCAAATTTTCATCTCAACTAAGAGATCACTAATTGGCAAATCTGTGGACAAATCAGTTTCTCTTTTTTTTTTAAAAAAAAATCCACCCCAGTGGACCCCACTTAAATGTGGGTAAAACCCCCTTACAACCCCTGGTGGGAATCAAACTCTGGTTATTATCAGGAAAGACAACAACTTAACCATTAGGCTGTCATTCAATTTCCATCAGTTTCTCTTACTTGTGTCATCAGAGTAAAGCAAATATATCCATACATGTAGGTGGATTAGATCAAAATGGCTCATTTAAATTCTAACGCTTCTTAATTTGGTGAAGTTGCCGGAAATCAATATATCAATGCATCAATGCATCTTGGGTCGTACTACTTAAACAGCCTCTCTATGTTGAAATACAGGGGTAAGACTGCGTACATCTTGACCCCCAGACCCCAACCCAGTTGGGAATATATTGGGTATGTTGTTGTTGTTGTTGTATGTAGGTGGAACTTCGAAATGTAGGAAAACATATAAATGATGTAATATATCACATACATACATGGGTGAAAGGCTCCATACCTCAAAAAGCCAGTGGAACTGTCTTACTGCATCTGCTGTACCTTGGAACCATCTTTTACCTAGCTCACCTGGAGTTTGAGTGGCTGCTAAGACCTGTAACACAGCTTAAAAGGAGCAACATAAAGGAAATGAATAACTTGATGCCATGTAAGAAGGAAAGAAGATCTCCAAGGATGCATACCTCTACATATCCATCTCCAAAAGTGACACCACCGCTAAAGTTGTAAGCCCTTGCAAGGTGCCTGTTGAGTGATGCTGAATTGAACTGGGTAAGAATGTAGACCTTATTGATACCGCTATTGATACAGTTGCTCATTGGAACATCAATTAGCCGGTAAGCTCCTCCAATAGGTACCTGAAAATGTGGAAACAAGCAGCAATAGTCTTTTAAATATTGATGATCTACCAATTAAACTGCTGCAGAGGACTAAGCATTTGTCTACCTAGTCATTTTGGACACATAAGTTCTGTGAAACTTGTAGTGACTTGTTTAACTGAACATCTTCGAGAGACCCTATCTCTTGACAATGGATGGTGCTTATATGTTTGGTTAAATGGTTCAAAGAGATAAGAATGGACATACCGCAGGCTTTGCTCTGCGTTTTGTGAGAGGGAAAAGACGGGTACCAGCTCCGCCTCCAAGTATAATTGCAACAACTGTTCTGGGATCCCTTTTCTCTGCCTCCTGGTCTCTTAGCTGCGTTGGTCATGTTTGGACACAGGGAAGAAAGTGAATCAAAATATGCTAGTGATGTTTCTGAATGGATTGATAATAGTCAGCCTCAATGATTAACCTGCATGAACATTGTTGATACTTACCTTGGCCTCACCAACAAAATCAGCAGTGAGGGTCATGCACACGGGAGGAGGACGACGCCCTGCAGCATTTATAATCTGCTGTCTTTGCTCTAGTCTTGTGCAGTTGAGCTTCTTCCCCATTAAATCTCCATTACAGAACTTCACTATGCTCCAGTTCCTTTTACCAGACAATGCAACAGTGCCATGCAACTGCCCTGCAGCCGGCAAGGCGAGCCGACCGTTATGAGCGACCGCCATTTTCTTCTAGGATTAAGAATACTGGAGTTGCAGCTATACAAGAATGTTGAAAATCAGTGTTCAGGTTCTGCTAACATGGACAGTCTGTGCATGCTACTGGGAAAGACTCAAAGCCACATTTATCCAAATTCATTTTCATCCACCAATGTTTTTTTTGTTTTCATGTGAACCTTTGAATAGAGAAAAAAAAAAAAAAAAAAATCTAGGTGTTTTCCTAAAAAGTCCTCCAAAGAGACTTTGATTTTTCTAGGCTTAAAGCATATTCTATTGGTTTCTCCTATTGCTTCTGAAGAGTTTTGGTGTAACTCAGATATTCTGTAAAAATGTTACTCCTTCCGTCTTATAAAACCAGTGTGACAGCTTTCGTGTTGAGATAAGGTTGAGAATAGCATTGCAAAAATTTCTTGGTGAATAAGCAGAAAATCCTATTTGTAGTGGATATGTTATAATTTTGGTCCAACTTTAAGCAGAATTGATTTATCAAAGAGAAATTTCATGTGTTACTTCCTTTCTAGTGGATTTTTCACCTATTTTATTTTAATTGTAAACTTAGTCATAATATAATAATAATAATAATGTAATCATGTTGATTATTAAGATAATCATGTTGATTATTAGGCTGTTTGTCATTGTCCTGCACTTAACCCAAAAAATGTATGAACAAAACAGTGCAAATTCTGGGGAAGGCTTGGATTTGGGATGGATTGTGATGAGAATATAATAGTAATATTCTGAATAACAATACATTTCTTCCGATACTATCAAGGAAAATAATAAATAAAACGGTGCAGTTTTAAAACTTTCACAGGGTTCAATTTGGTCAATTAATTGATGATTTAGTCAATGTCAAATGTTACAAACATTTTATATGAATGAAAAATTGGTAAACATATTTTGATTATTGACTATAGCATTCACTCGCGGACTCAGAACACTACAAAAATCTGACGTTATTTAATTGACACGACTCTTGAGAGGTTTAATAAAGGAAGAATTACATTATAAGGGGACCAATTAAGCAATTTTCCCTTTCCCATTTTGGGGGCATGGAGCCAAAAGAGAAAACCGAAAACGAAGGCCCACCGACACGACACCGTATAATGCACGATAAAGATGTTTGTTGGCCACAGCCCACACTAGTTATAAAAACCTCAGTGAAATCCTTCTTCCCCCATGATGAAACCTCCTCCGAGCTTGCTTCGAAATTCCATTTCTCAACAATGGCGTCTCATTCACGCTTCCTCCTTCTCTCTCTGTTTCTCAGCTCCATTCTCTTGACTACCCACATCGTCAACTCTGCAGGTACTCTGTTCTAACGCCAGAATTTTTAACTTTCTTGATGCAGTTTTTTAATGCCTTTTCTTTTTTTTTTTCCTTGGATTGACGATTGTTCTTTGATTAAATCAGTAATGTAATGCTTAATGCTTGTCCCTGTTGGGTTAAAGGTGCATTTTTGTTAGTTGGGTTCTTTTTTGTTTTGTTCAATTGGAGCTTAGAATGATCAGTTGGTTGTTCCTGCCCTTGAAGGTAGTTGAAAATTAGAATTGCCAAATTTGTGATTGATGAAGATCTAGTGTTTGTGTTTCCTTTTTGGAGTATTCCAGTTGGGTTTTTTTTGAAGTATGGTGATGTGGGCTATCTTCCAGTCTTTCCTTTCAAGATTATTTCCTTTTAAGGATTCTTCTAAATCTGGATTGTTTCGAGTTTCAACTTTCTTCTATTCAGGGAACTGAAATTTGTTTCTAAAGAACTTTTGCAATGAGATCTTTGATCTTTGCTTTATTCTTCTTTTTGATACCGATAGCTTTCTGGATCCATTGGAGTCCTAAAGATAGCTACGATCCTTAATTCTTTTTGAAGGCATTTTAGTAGTGGAGTTGAATTTCGACTTGGGGGCATTGAATCTTGTTGGGATCCTCCGTGTAGATAATCTATCTTGTTGGATCAGTTGATCATGTTTTTGATCATGAACAAAAGCGTAAATGTTCCTAATTCTTTCAGATTATGTTACGGCTTTGCTTAATTCTGTTGCTCTGCAGTATCTTGAAATGAATCTATGGCAATGTAACTTGTTTATCAATCCCTCATCGTTTTCACAAAGCTCACATATTACGGTATTGAATCACATTCATCAGCTTGATCAACTATTTTGACTCTTGTTATCTTCTATCTGTTGCATGATTGGTAACCATGACGGCATTTTATTCCATTTCCAGCAATTAAAGAAAGAACTTTAAGGAATATGTGTTCTAAATACTTTTATGCTATCATATTGTTTGCAGATGAGGAACAGAACCTTCTCCAGCAAATTAACAGTTACCGGGTTTCTGTAAACTTGACAGCACTGAAAGAGAATGGCAATGCAAAGTGCCTCGCTGAAGGAATGGCGGACGAATTCAGAGATCAACCGTGTACTAACAACACAGGAGCAAACACTGTTCCGGGCACTGAAACGCAGTTCTCTTCCTATCCTCAAGTTCTGCAGAGCTGCCATTTGAATGTTACTACCACAAGAGATGGAGCAATAATGCCTGCCTGCGTTCCCAATCTCGTTCCCGATCTTGTTCTATCCAACTTCACGCAATCACAGTACGCTAGCAACCTCAATGACACCAAGTATACTGGGATTGGAATCGGCTCCAAAAATAACTGGATTGTTGTTGTTTTGACCACAGACACACCGGAAGGAAACTATGCTACTGCAACTAATGACAACAGTTCAGCCAATTTAGTCTCGACGTTCGGTCTGTTTTGCCAAGCACTATTTTTATCTGTGTCCTTCTGGATGATGATGTGATCTAGCTAAATCCTTACAATTTTCTTCTTATTCTGAGAGAGTCGTTTTTATACCAGGCTGTGAACAATGTACACTTATACTGTAGATTGACAATCTTTATTGATGCAGTGAAGGAAAGAACACATGCTTTTACCTTGTTTGTCTTTCAGCGAATTATTTTGCCATCTTATTGATGTAGTGTAGAAAAGAATACATTTCATCATCTTGCTTAAATCATAACTTAATTAAAGATTGTTGTAATTTCTGATTTATCACAGATAGCATAAGTTTAAAAGGCAAGAAAATTGGAAGGAGTTCTTATAACATTATTACTGGAAAATAATACACCCACCATCCATGAAAAGGGGTGAGGAAAGAAATGATACAAGGCAAGAGCACCTTACTAAGCTTCATGTCAAAACATAACCTAAGAGCATTTTCTTCAAATTTATTTTACATCCTTATGAGCCATGTAAGCAAAATATATCCTCGGTTTTTTAACGGGCACTTGCTTCTGAATTTCTACAATGCAATCATTTTAAGAGCTCTTTAACCTGGCCTTGGAACTGTTTATTAAAAGATATCTCCTAAGTGCAAGTAAGAGGACCCAAGTGCCCTTTGAGATCTTCTCCTTTACCATCAAAAGCACAGCTGAGCTGAGTACAGTCTTCAGGATCTGAGCCTGCAACCCTTTGAAGAAACCCCATAGTCCTTCTGTTTTCCAAATGGTATGAAATGCACCCGATACAGTTTTCCTATATTTTAATTGAGCTTCATCCTCCACATCATCCTCGGATTCAGCGGATTGAATTGTCACCTTGCACCTATTAATTGTCAGTAATCATTATGAACTTATCAACATCAGACAAACGCAAAATCATAATTACTGGTAATGTAACTAATCCCAGAAGCTTGTGATACAAAGGTGCCCTTCTATGAAGTCTTTGTGCCACTCCATAATAAAAAAAGATAAAGAATAAGAAATTGTAAGAAACAGATGAATACTAGTTCCCAAATGTGTATAAAATGAATCCATACCGAATAAGAAGAAAGAAATATTAACCAAAGGTAAGATAGATACTATACCTAATGGCTGGATATGTTATACAGGTGGCAATGCATTTAGTAACGGCGCCTAACAGAAAAGCAGAAAGAGCAGAAAGAGCTTGAGGAGCTGATTCAAGATCTCCCTTTTTTCTCATTTTTCCCTTCAGCATTCTTTGTTTTAGCTGATCAAATACCGTGTACTGCCAAAGAAAGTTAAAACTTTAGACTTCCATTGAAGTTAGAAAGCAATAGTGTAACCGCGCGTGGAAGGAGAGGATCAGGAGGTTGTTATAAACAATAAGCGCAGGCACAGCAGGTCATCAGTAATGAGCTTTCCCAATCGACTTTCAAAATTCATTTTACCATTCATAAAGACAATTTAAAATTCTTTCACTGCACTTCATAGGAAAATGCAGCAGAAAAGCCCAACAAAAATACCTGGATTGCAGGGTTTGTAGTAAGAAGAATAGATATACCAAGACCATCGTATAATTCCTCCCAGGAATCCTCCGACAGCGTCCTCCAGAAACCTCTAGATTTACCAAATTCACTCGTCTGCATTTTTGAAGATGCTGTATCCAGAGGCTGAAAATTTGGTCCAGAATAAGATTCACTTTTGTAATTCTTGTTAAACATAAATTTCAATTATCACTTTGCTATAACGCAGTTTTATTTTTTGAAAAACTGAAGCAGAAGCGGAAGAGTCCAAGTCCTAATGTCACAGAAACTGTATTATAAATGAAAAAAAGGAATGGATGCCATTAGTCATCCACCACATTAAAAAAAAGATCAAAAGAATCCGAAAAACTTACATGAGTCAACAGAACTGTACCAGCACCAGCAGCAACAGCAATCATGAGGTTCACCCTAGTCCCTATTGATTTCGACCCACTTTTCTCCAAGTACAGTCTTTTAAGAAAGCTATAGCCATAAAAATAGATGAATGACGAAACAAATGATTGCCAATTCTTAGTCCCAAGGCCCTGGTACAAGGAAAGAACCTGGCGAGTAGATATTGCCTCCCATAGAACATCTGATATGTTCCTGAATATAACCAAAAGCAATCAAATCAGATTTCGTATCAAGAAAGCCAGCTCAGAGTTAGGCGATATGTTATAACAATCACACAACTTTAAGAGTGACTCAGATCAGGCATATGTTCTTTCTTATTTCATAGGTTTAGACAAATCAAACCACAGGAAAAACTGCCTGAGAGGCATTCAAGACCTTTAAGAAATTATGAAATGAAACAAAACATCAATCCAAGTGGAAGGGAAGTACTAAGATCAAAGAAGCAAGCTCAACTTTCTACATATTCCATCACTACATGATCCAGGAACATTTGGTATATGAGGCAGCCTCGCCCTTGTAGTTGTCTTACAATTAACGCCCGAAATCGACAAACTCAATACTCATTAGCAACAACGGGATATTTTTGTACAAGCCCAGAAGACTATTTCTTTGCACAAGCAGCACTTGCTAACTACACTTCATGAAGTCTTTAGAAACGAACCTACCTGATCATGACTTTCAAACACTCACCAATGAAAATACACAAACACCAAATTATGAAACGTTATATGCAAATACCAATATCGCATAAATTTCTCAGCCTCGTGCACCAGGTTCTCAAAAGCGTCTCAAATCATTGTGGAAAAAAACCCAAAACTAGCAATTTTACAGCTAGGATGTAATCAACATTGAGAGCATAATCCAGGAACAGGGTCTTCTATTACTCACGGAAAAGACCAAATTTTTGCCATCTAAACCGAAGAAGCAATAAGCCATAAACGAACTAAAATGAGATACCAAACAAGCAAACAGAAAAGGGGTCCAGAAACAAATATCTCAGACAGAATAAAATCCAAACGAAATTAAGAATAACCGAAGGAAAAAAAACCTGTATCTTTGCTGATGATGAGCTCGAATTTCAGCTTGGTACTTAGACTTGCAGGTATCCAGAGGGTACAGAACAGTAGTGCTCACTAATGATCCAATTGCTCCTGAAGTTGCTTCTGCCAGTGATTCTATATCAAAACCCATAATTTAACAGCAACAGGAAGAAAAACTTCAGCTGAAAAATAGCTAAAAGGTAACAGGAAGAGCAATTTGAAGGAAGAAAAATGGGAAATTGATTTTTAGTTGAAAGACAGTTGATTATCGGTTTGGAGGTGCTGTGGATACTGGAAGAAGATACAATGATATCGGGAAGCGGGATGGCTCAAAGGAATGGGAATTTCTGTAATTTTGTAAAACTATAAAGTTTTGCCACCTAAATTCGTTTAATTGGTCCAACCTCAAAATCGAACCACTTGGAAAATCAGGTTTAATTGGTCCCAACTTTTATTTTTCCGAGTTAAAAAAATTACTATAAAATTATACATAGAGAGAAAATATTTAAGAAATATAAGTTATGATGAGATATTGTTGTAGATTATAGAGATACAAAGAGAAAATTTTTTAAAAAATGAGAACAGAAAGAAATGGTTATGAGAGAAAGATGAATGGATTGATATGCATCTTCATATATTTGTGGATACCTTTTGTTTAATTATTCTCCTAATCGGTTTGCACCGATTTAAAAGAAAGGTGATTTGAACATACAATTTATAATCAAATTGTTATGTTCAACTCTAAAAGTATTATCAATTCAGAAAAGAATAACATAATGTAAATGTTGTAAATAGAGGATTAAACTCTACTCGAAAAGGGGAAAAAAAGAAAAAGGCACTAACATCATTATGTTATTGTAAATGATATGTCTCCAAAAAGAGTAATATTTTGTATCACAAACATGCTCTTTACTCCATTAATCTTTGATCAAATGAAGAATTAGTGTTGTTACAGGAACGTACGAGATTTAGATATAATATAATATGAGATATAATGTAATCTAAGCCTAGATTTCATTTGCACTTTGATCTACCATTTGTTGGTAAAAAAGGTTGTACTTTTAAGGAATTACATTATACTAAAAGCCTCTAAAAGGCAAGAATTACATAGTCAAATAAAGAATGTGCCAAGTTCCATAAATTCAAACTAATACTAACGTTCCAATTTCCCCAAATAATTTTTTATTTTTGAAATCACACTCCATTTCGCCCTCTTCTTTCCTTTCCATTCTTCTTCTCTCTCAACCCACTCCTCTCTTCACTGTCACCACCAAATGCAAATCAATTCAAAACCCCTGATTTTGGAAACATCCCTTTAAAGTTTCAAACTTTTTTGGAAAGGCTTTCCTCCGATGCAGGATTTCATCGGCTCAGTCCGCAGATCTTTGGTTTTCAAGCCACTGGGAGGAGGAGGAGGAAATGGAGATTCATTAGACCAAAGTGGCACTATTTCAAATGGGTTCAATGGGTTTGTGGAGAAGATTGGATCCAGCATCCGGAAGTCCAGAATTGGGATTTTTTCCAAGCCACAAGCTCCGGCATTACCGCCGATCGGGAGAGCCGCCGAGCCGGCGAAAGCTAAGAAAGATGATAAGCCGCCGATTCGTTGGCGGAGAGGGGAATTGATTGGTGCTGGCGCGTTTGGGAGGGTGCATATGGGCATGGATATTGATTCTGGGGAACTAATTGCTGTTAAAGAGGTAAAGTTTTGGACTTTATCTATTGGTGTTTGATTAATGTGTTGCTAATCTAATTTCTGGGTTTTGGAAAGTTTCTATAAAGATTGAATTTTTATGGTGGGTTTTTGCAGGTCTCAATTGCTGCAAATAGTGCTTCCAAGGAAAGAACCCAAGTAAGCTAATTTGTGTTTGAGTTACTTTAGTTATGTTTTGTGTTTTGAGATTTAATTATTAAATTGTTGGAGCTTTTTCAGTCTTAATTGTAATTGTATTCAAAAGGATGATTTTGTTTGTAGAATGAATTTTATAACTTGAAAATTTAACTGGAGTGTAGCCTTTGGCTATATCCGCATGAATTATAGTGGAGTTGATTAGCTTGTTCCCATATATTTCCCTTTTCGAATTAGACCAATGAAGCTTTTGCTTATTTTGGATCAAAGGAAAACAAAAACTCTTTTGAAATAGACTCATTTATGTTCTTTTGTAACTGACAGGTGCATATCCGAGAGCTTGAAGAGGAAGTGAACCTACTTAAAAATCTTTCGCATCCGAATATAGTGGTAAGTGAAATGCACATCGTGTTCATCATTATGACTATGAGGTGTTATGTGTTTTTTTCCCTCCTGATTTTGTTACTTTATTTGCAGAGATACTTGGGCACTGCCAGAGAGAAGGAATCTTTGAATATATTTCTGGAATTTGTTCCAGGAGGTTCAATCTCCTCCCTTTTAGGAAAATTTGGATCTTTCCCTGAATCAGTAAGTAAATGGTGCTTATTTTATTGACAGTATCCAAAGTTTTCTTAAGTTGGAGTACTTCTTTCATTCTTTAAATTCTAGTATGGTGCTTGGGTTTACGCTTTTCACTTATCCAGTCATACGGTGTAGGTAGAAATAAATATTTCCCGCTCTTATACTCTTCAGGTTATTAGAATGTACACAAAACAACTCTTGTTGGGCTTGGAGTACCTGCACAAGAATAATATTATGCATAGAGATATCAAGGTGACTAACTTATCCTCATTTGTTTCCAAAGAGAAATATTTGGATCATTTCCTTGGTAATGCTTGTATCCTTTCAGGGAGCAAACATTCTAGTAGATAACAAGGGATGCATCAAACTTGCAGACTTTGGCGCATCGAAGAAAGTTGTTGAACTGGTATGAATCACGGTGCTTTATTATTAAAGTTACTATATATTATTCTGTCTGGGAATTCAGTAGTTCTGTCAGGATAGCATTTTTAAACTGCGGTCCCGAACTTCAACAGGCTACAATGACTGGTGCTAAGTCAATGAAGGGCACTCCGTATTGGATGGCTCCTGAAGTTATTCTCCAGACTGGGCACACATTGTGAGTAAATAGATGCGGATATTAGTTTCCTTCTTATTGTAAACAAGTTGAAATCTTGACTTGAACATTCCATTAGATGCGGATAATTAGTCTTTTTTTTTTTTTGCAGTCATTTTACTTTAGTTTTATCATCAGACACTGACCCATCTCTTAAAACATAGTTCTGCTGATATATGGAGTGTTGGATGTACGGTTATTGAGATGGCTACTGGAAAACCTCCTTGGAGCCAGCAGTATCAAGAGGTATAAAGTCACTCTATCTTTTACTGGAAACTGAAAGATATTGAATGTTTGACCCTTCAATGGATTGAGTTGAGTAGCATATGCCAAGACTTAAGGTTGCTTTTTCAGGTTGCTGCTCTCTTCCACATTGGAACAACTAAATCTCATCCGCCCATTCCTGAGCAACTTTCTGCTGAAGCGAAGGACTTCTTATTGAAATGTTTACATAAGTAAGTTCAATTTGTTATCAACTTATCATTATCCTTCGTGGCATTGATAGTGTATTCATGGTAAAACGTATTATTGGTGCTCTGTCTTGCAGTCATATGGTGTCAACTTTCTTTTTTCTGTTCTTTAATAGTAAATTTGGCATTTTCTCAGGGAGCCTCATCTTAGGCCCAGTGCATCAGAGTTGCTTCAGGTACTTGTTCCAGCGTATTTATGTCTTCATGTGGTCAGAGCTGATTTACGTTTCAGTGTTTGTGGGAAAATACAGGATGTGGTTGGTTGATTTTGGGTGTGACAGAAATGTAATACCAACTGTTTAACATGTTTCCTTTGGGACCTTTCAGCATCCCTTTGTTACTGGAGAATGTGAAGGAACTCATGCAGCTTCTCGCCCTTCAGTTGCGGTCAGTGTTGTATGATACTTTCTAGTTTTGAGCTTTTGATATGTTCCTTTGCCATTTGTTCTACTGACAGTTTTAAATTTGAATTGACCTGGACAATCCTAAGAACTCAATTGCCACCAGGGTGGAACTTAGCAAGTCGTAAGTATCCGCTTGCACTGGTCTTGATTGCCCGATGACTTAAGCTCTGTTTTCTGTTTCAAGAAATAACTCTTAAGAACTTTGTTAACTATTGCAGCACCAAATTTGATGCATTGAGGAGTTCTAATGGGTTGAAAGATGCTTGTGAAATGAGTGATCTAAGGTGCTCAACCATAAATTCTGAGAAATTTTCTGCAAAAGGATCTATGTGGAAGTCGGGCAACTTTGATGATGATATGTGTCAGTTAGATGATGATGATGAATTTAAGATGGTGGCATCAACCAAGTTTGATTCCGGGTTTCAAGATTTAACCAAGGTAACAAGTTACACCGATATTGTTGAATTTATCTGCAGCTAACTCCTTTCCTTTCCTTATCGGTTTCTTTGTGGCTAAACCCAGAGTTTTAATCCAATGTGTGAGCCGGATGATAATTGGCCTTGCAAGTTTGATGAGAGCCTGGAGTTGGAGAGACATGGAACCAATTTATTCTCCAGTCAAGTTATTCAAGACCCTGAGAATAACACTGGACCTTCTGGAATGGAGGATGGTGGCTTCACATTTCCAGTCGGACAATTAGCAGCTGAGGAAGAGGATGAAGTAACTGAAACAAAAATTAGGGCATTCCTAGATGAAAAGGTATATTATCATAAAACCGTTCCATTATACGTAGCAATATTTGCTCAGTGATAACAATGAGATCCGGCATTGCTTCATATTTTCTGTCAAATCTATGCAGGCTTTGGATCTAAAAAGGCTGCAAACTCCTTTATATGAAGAATTTTATAATTCTATCAACTCGTCGAGTGCAGTAAATACTGTTGGTGCCTCAAACAAGGAAAATGTTTCGGATAATCTCAATCTACCTCCAAAGAGCAGATCGCCAAATAGAGTACTCAGCAGAAGACTTTCTAATGCTCTTGAGATCACCAATAGCTGTAGCCCTGGAAGTGGCTCTAAACGCTTTTCAAGTAAAGGTGGTTTAAATTATAGGGAATCCCAGTCTCAGTTAAGGGATTTGAAAGGTCTTCTTTTCAATGCACAGCAGGAGCCACCAAGTCCAAGGTCTGTGTGAACGTTTTCTATTAGCTTTTGTTTCTTCATTGATTTTAATGCTACTTCCTGTTTTTTGGAAGTAACAGATTTGCTGTTCAAAACTGACAGTTCTAGCTTCTCCGAGAGACAAAGAAAGTGGAAAGAGGAGCTTGATGAAGAGCTTAAGAGGAAACGAGGTAATTCACAGTAGTACTTCTGGAACTAGTAAAAAAGTTGTTAACCTTGATAAATTTCTGTAATAGGCTCATGATGTCGGATATTGTCATAGTTCATTACAATTTGATTGCTCAAACTTGATTTCATGGCATGGTTGGTTTTTAATCAAGTGTGTTATCTTACAGAAATCATTAGTAATGGCTAACAAAATTATTGACTTGGTATACGAAAAGAAAATTGAAATGCAAAAGGCTATACATTAAGGTGTTGTACTGTGAATTAGCTTCCATCCACTGAAGGCTATAAATTGAAAGGCTATAAATTGAAATCCAAGTTGTAATCTTTCATCCACTGAAGTAGGTTTGTGCAGCATCCATCTGATATATAAGAACACAATCAATACCATTACTTTCCAGTAAACTAATTCATTACCATTGACTTTCATCCTTCTATTGATTGTTTGTTGGTTATGAAGTTCCTTACCAATTGCATTTCCAAGCATGTCATTTCTGACCATGGAAGCTGACATTGCATATTGCAGAAATACTGCGTCAGGCTGGTGTGGTAAAAACTTCTTCCCCAAAGGATCGGATCATGCATCTCCATATGGATCAAGAACATGCATCTCCAAGGAAGTAAATGCACTAATCCAGTCTGCTACCAGTTTTACTGACAACCATCTTATAAGTTTTGTCATGGAAAACCACATCGATTGAGGCGTTCTGTAATGAATGGAGAATTTCGATTTTAGAAATGGCTGAAGTGATTGAGAAAATTTTTTATGTGTTCCATGTAATTATGCGGAAAGTCTTCAAGAACAACTGAAGCGGCAGTACTGTGGCCGCCATTTCTTCATGTAATCATGCATCGCAGCTGAGGTTGCTGCGAAGAGTTCATGTGATCCACCAGAAGCTATTGTGTATTTATTTGTATTTCATATCCAAATGTTTATCTAAGATCGCTGAGATGATCTGTATGTCATTGGGAAATAACATCATAATGATCTATACTATATTCCATTGTAATAGAGAGAAGATTGTGAGTCTCTTCATATTGTGTAAATAACTTTTTGTCTTTCAGACAAAATTGTTGAGTGCATCTTTCAAATTGCTTTCAGCACTTCTGAATGTTCTCACATAAGTAACCATGTTCATTTGTTCTGATTCCTGAATCATGTGTTCTGTATGTATTGAAATGATGGTTTATTTACCAAAAAATAAAAAATAAAGAAATGATGGGTTCAAAAATAAATGTACCGAAATGATGGTTCAATTTGAATTTTCATTAACGGCTTTCTTTTCACAATATAAGTCTACTTTGAGTGGCACAAACATTAAGAGTTAATAATTAGCAAAAATAAAAGGTTTTTAAAATCTTTACCTTAATTAACTCAAAAATCATTATACAGACAGGTAATTTAGGCAAAATAAATAAAATTATGACATAACCCAAAATAGTAACTGGACTTACATTTTGAAAAGTAAGTAGTATGAAGGATCAAGGCTATTGTTTTAATTTTTTTTCGTTCCTTAATTTTTCTTAAGTCAAGTAATCATATTTACTAGCTATTAATATTTTATTTTTTTCGTTCCTTAATTTTTCTTAAGTCAAGTAATCATAGTTTTACTCATAAAGATGATACTTTGGTTGTCAAAAACCTTAATCATTATATTAAAAAAAAACAAACAATTGCAAGGGTTTAAAAAACCCCATATGTGTTAAGCTATAACAATTGGGTTATGATTGTTGACTTTGATCTTCTTCATATATATTTTTAATATATATATTTTTTTAATTTGTATTGATAGTTGGTAGTATTAATGTGCCCCTCTAAAATATTTTTTCTAGCTCCACCACTGACCAGAGGGGGAAAAAATGTCGTTCCTACTCAAAACTTTGCTCTCGTCGTCAATCATACCCAATAGATTTTCGCTTAGCCAACTTTACTCTAATGTTTGAAATTTTCGTAAATTTCATCCAATCGGCCCATTTTCCGTCTAAATTAACGGATCTCCGTTAGTTTTTTAATAAAATAATAAATTTAATAGTAAAAATACCCTAGTTTTTAAAAATTTTAAAAATAACCCCTAAAATATATAAAAATAACAAAATAGTCTTTTTTTATTTTTTTATTTCATTTTTCTCTATTTTGTTCTATTTCTCTCAACTACTTTTAATGACCATAAAAGTGTATTATATGAATTTTAAAAAAATATTTATTTATTTTCAAACTCAACTGTAAAAATTAATCTTTGTACAGTTGTAACCCATGATTGTATTTATACAAGTATGTTAATTTTTTTAATAATATAGTTTAGCAATAAAGACACTATTTTTTTTATTTATTTTATTCTTCCTAACATAAAGATTAAAAATGTTTAAATGAAACTAATATTCCACATAAAAATAAATATCAGATCAAATAAAAAATATTATATTAGTATAGTTTAGTGTATTACAATTTAATTAGAGAGACTACATCGCTTAATATAACTAGAGAGACGACGAGAGTAAAGTTTTGAGTAGGAACGACATTTTTTCCGACTAGAGGGATTAAGTCTTACAACGTGCTTCTTGTAAGAAATGAATTTTTTTTTCTGTATTATTATTATTCAAAGACAAAGGGATACAATTACAAAGTAAACAAGTGTTAAAGATCGTACAGTATGTTATAGGAAATCAACTAAGTTTAACAAATTCTTTTGATTTTCAAGGAATAAATTATTCGTGCATTTTAAATAAGTCGGATTTCGGGATTTGGCCAACGTGATTTAAGCAATCCTCACTTCCTCCTACTTAAGCTTTTTAATTTGGACGGCAGAAATGTAGGCAATGGTGGTGGTAACTGGTAACATTTGTTTCCTTCATAGCTAATTCACCGTCGATCTATTATTATGTCATACTCATACTATATATGCGTTCTGGGTGGTCATATAATACATTCCAATTAATTCTTAAGAACTTTTCTTGGAGGGAAAATAAATAAATAAATAAATGTTACGAAATACTCCCTCCGTCCCATAATTATTGTCCAATTTGAGTTTTTATTTCTAACTCAAATTGTACTAGAATTGAAATTTCAGACTGGACAATAATTATGGGACAGAGACAGTATTATCTAAAATTATGATATTTATATTGTTATAAGTAAACACTTCAAACTCGAGACCATTTTAACAGAAAACAAGCTCTATGGAATACTAGGGTGGAGAGGTGGACCATATTGACCATATATATATATATATATATATATATATATATATATATGTGCTATGTGAGGTTCAAAGAATTGAAATTATGGAGATTGGAGTAGATAGTTTCGTGAAGATTTTTCTTCATCTGTTCTCAAACAAAGACATTAGTATTTAACGTCAGAGAGATTTTTGCATTAACATATATGAAGCCCAATTCTCTGGAGGGCGGTCAACTGCCATGCACCGACAATCAGATATAGCCATTTAATGATCCAAATTGTTTCAGAGTCTAAGTTAAATTAACTAATTAAGCAAAATTTCTATGACATTGTTAAAATTCTTCACCTAAGTATACCAGTTTATTAAACTGTACTATTTTATGAAAAAAAAAAAGAGAAAAAAAAACCTTCAATCACTGTTGGAGCTATTGCTACAATCACTGGTAAAAGGATATCACCTGATCGGATTTTGACCATATTTTGACAAATATAGCTACAATCCCATTATCGATGATGGAATGTCTTCAGTTTAATGGTGACTCCCATAGGCGGAGGGAGGCCAGCCGGTGCAGCCGCACCCCTCCGTTTTTTATTTTTTTTCATTAGTATTATATTTTTATATGAAAAAAATAATAAACAAGACAATTCGCAATCCTTTCAAAATATTTTTAATAATATTAGTATGTTGTAGAGTGTTATCATTTTTTTCTCAATAAAAAGTTTAACTACAAAACTTTGTAAAGAAAAATGTATCATTTGATTTCTTATAATTTCAATGACAACGTACTATTTTTTTTTAATATTCTTAATTATGTAAATAAAAAATAATTCAAGCTCTCTCAATAAAAAGTTTAACAACAAAACTTTGTAAAGAAAAATGTATTATTTGATTTCTTATCATTTCAATGACAACTTACTATTTTTTTAACACTCTTAATTATGTAAATAAAAAATAATTCAAGCTCAAATGAACCATTATAGTACAATTTTGAGCTGATTAATTCAAACTCATTTCTTAAACTATACAAACTAAAAGTCCAGCAAGTATCGTTTGTCACAGTTTTTAAATTGGATATTTTAGTAGAATTTGGTTTCTTAAAAAATCCCCATCTTCTAGTGTTTTTTTTAAAATCTTATTCAGCCCTCAAATCTTTATAAAATCCTATTACTAAACTACTACCAAAGCATTTTTTTTTAAAAAAAAATCTCAAAATGTTGATTAGAGTTTGAAATTTGCTAAATCTTTTTTTTAATGAGAAAAATATGGTATTTAATATTTGATTTTTTTTTATGTCTTTTTAGTACTTAATATGCTTTATCTCGAAATTTCATTTTACACCTCCTACAATGAAATCCTGGCTGCGTGACTCCTATTGTAATGAGAGTGTTCCAAATGTCCGAAGCATATAGATTAACCGTTCAACTTCAGTTATACATATGATCCATATATGTATATGGATTATACCAATTGCCAATCGGAAATGGAAAAGCGCATAACACAACTATTCCACAAATCCATCTTTAATGTAACTGTAACCCTAAGCATATCACTAGCTAGGTATAGGACTCATGCGCATCACAACAACAATGAATAGTTTACATCTTTTTACTCTCTATTTTTTTTTTAATTGAAAAAAAAAAAAGAGTTCGATTGCCTTAACAAATGATCCAGTCTAGCTCATTTCAGATTGGGTTCGATCCCTCAAATTTTTACCGATTCGCTGTGAATCTTACCAACTAGCTAGCAGAGAACCACATTTGAAGATTGATCAATCCCAAATTTATTACCAAATAATGAACTTGCGTATGATGACACAAACAATGATTATGTCCACATCTCTCACGCCCTCAACATTTTATATTCTATGTATCTTCATCGATGTGGATGGTAAATTTGGCTCTTTTTAGCTACGCGGGCCAACATTTTGTACGTGAAATTTGTCGAGAAAATACGGGTAAAAAAGAAAAAAGGGATATTGGATTGATACAGCCTTATCTACACAATTACATACAATTCAATCTTAAATCTTAAATATTTTCTCAAGAGATTGAACACTATAATTTCTCTCTCAATGATGTATTCCCCCTTTCTTCTAGCTAAGTACTTCTGTAAGTACTTTATCTTTCATTCATTTTTAGGGTAACAGCATTTGGTAAAACAACATTAAGAGAATTTCGTCACTCAAAATGAATAAAATAGGTGTCTTATAATAAGGGTGAGGCTTAATGCATTTATGTATCTGTTTAAAGTATCTTATGATTTTTTCATAGTCCTTTTGTGTAAAAGAAATTTATTTTGTCGAATTAAACAGTATAATAAAATGGATTATTTTAGGACAGAATATATATAAGTTGTCTAAAAAGACCGGTTGGATGGTGAATGAGGCATGCCATGCATGTGAGATTAGGCCATTTTAGATTGCTACATGCTACCTAATAAACATATGCATGAGTGGGACTTAGTAATTGGGGAAATATAGCTAAATTTTAATCAACACGTGTAATATTAGGATAGGGAAAAGAATTATTGGCATCGAATTTATATGATCAAAGAAGGATATGCAAATAAAAAGACACAAACAACCAAAGGTGTCATCTTCCAAAAACGCTACAAAAGAATGAATGAGACAAGTCAAATAGCCTTTTGAGAGCATTTTGTGCTAAAAATCAAATAACAAAATAATTATGTGGGCGATGGCTGCTGGATTTTGAAGGCCCCATTAATATCGAAAGTAGTTATATTTGTACCACCAAATTCATGTGTCATTTGTACCTAAGTGAACTTTTAGATCAGCCTAAAAGAGGTAATTTTAAGGTGGGGTTGGGAGAGAGGGAGGTGTTAAGAAACATGAATATAAATTAAGAATGATGACATCTTCACATATACATATTTCTGTATCTGTAACAGTTGTCTCAACAATTCAACTTTTCAACAAAAAAATTTTTTATCTC